ATGTGTATCAGATATACCAATGGACTCCAAATGGTGACTTTCTTCTGTTTTGCTCCCTTGAACAAACACAGGAGACAGAATGTCACCAGACAGTTGACTAATTTTATTCTATTAGATGTTCAGTTTTATAATTGTACACTGTGGGAAAGACATTGCCTCTTTGAAAGGACTTCTTTCTTGTTTTCCAATCTACTCCATACTTCAGAATAAACCTGTTTGTTTAGGTACTTCACAAAAAAAAACTACTTTTAAATTTCTGGGATTAGAGAAAAAGAAGAAGAATCTATAAGTTATTGTTGCTTATAACTGCATTTCACAAATATATACGCTACCCCTTATATTTTACTAGACCTTTGTAATAAGGGCAAAGTTAGCAGAAATAGTGTTATGCTATGACTTAGGGAAAATCTTAATGTTCTCATGATCATTGAAACTCCACAAGGTGAGGTCCTGCACAGAGGGAGATTGACAGTTATTTTGTATTTCTTTCATTTGCGAATAATCACACCAACTGTTGTCACCTTCTCACCAGGTTGCTTGGCAATAGTCTTGTAGCCCATTCCAGCCTTGTGTAGATCTACAATCTTGTCCCTGACATCCTTGGACAGCTCTTTGGGCCTGGCCGTGATGGAGAGTTTGGAATCTGATCGATTGCTTCTGTGGATAGTGCTCCTAATCTCACCTCGTTACTTGTATAAAAGACACCTGGGAGCCAGAAATCTTGCTGGTTGATAGGGGATCAAATACTTATTTCACTCATTAAAATGCAAATCAATTTATAACTTTTTTGAAATGACTTTTTCTGGATTTTTTTGTTGTTATTCTGTCTCTCACTGTTACAATAAACCTAGTATTAAAATTATAGACTGATCATTTCTTTGTCAGTGGGCAAACATATAAAATCAGCAGGGATCAAATAATTTTTTCCCTCACTGTACATATCCAATGTTTTTATGCTACCTAGAAAGTAAGGCATCATCTCAGATTAGCAGTGGAAAGTTCACCTTATAGCTTGAATGCTTGGAAAATGCCATAGCCATTCTAAAACATCTGGATTTTTTGAAATGACTTAGCATTTAATGTGTACTTTGCTCTTAAAAACAGCCTTTAAAATAATAATTTACTTAAGCCAATGAAAGCAAATTTTCTTAATAGATAAGACTTAATCATATTATCCAGGAAATTACCCTGTAAAGCAGGGGTGTCAAACTGCCAGCCCGTAGGCCGGATGCATCGTGGTGAAACTACGCCCACCCCATTGCCAGCAATGGGAAAAAGTCGCAAAATGTTGCAACACAACACGTGATGTTGTGAGTTTGACACCCGTGCTGTAAAACCTGTTAGACTTATATTCAGATTGACAAAAAATTCTGCCATGGAGATATGATTTTGTTTTTCTTGAAGCAAAGAGGTCACATGATCTGTTTTGATGAAATTTCCCCTCTTTCTCTGTAAAGCTTGCTCTGTAAAGCTTCATGTAAGCAGAAACCCCTGGCCTTCCAAAGTAACGGGCCCATTCTCCCACACTACTTGCCAAAGATTTTGGATAGCGGTATCAGGAGAAACTGCTGCTGGAGAAACAAGGAGACACTCTGAAGCAAAGTAAGGCCAAGCCAAGCAATGTTTTATTAAGGTGAAATAAGAGGGCTATGTGACTTCATGAAATGGTTTTGAGGCAGACTTATTGAAACCACTTTGATGGCTGGACATGAGAAAGACTTAAAGAAACTCTTGTTGGTTCACCTACAGAGTGCAACATCTACTCTGTTGTTTAATATTTTTTTTTAAAAAAAGACAAACCCTAAGATTATGTCAATTAACAATCTCAGCTTAATAAAAGTAAATGGAGAAGGAACTGTAGCAGTAAAAAAAATATCTTTGAGTTTTAAAACTTTATAGGGATAGTGATTGTAATAATGAAATAAAGAGGTATCAGCTACCTGGGAGAAAGATAATGATAGATACCTTAATATTTTTGGAGCATCTTAGTAAATTGGATTTCAGCTTCTTTTTTTTTTACTTCAAGACTAAACCAGATAGCAAACCAAAGGAACTATAATCAGGTTTCCTGCATCTTTCTGGGATCATAAAATCAGCTACCAGAGGGAAGGGGTTGCTATATATTTGGACCACAACAATGGGAAAAGGCGCTAACCTTTCCCTTCAATTTCTCTACTCTCAGAATAGGTGAGGAGTCTCTCTTACCTGTTCTTCCAGTCATTGGGAAAATGAAAGAAGGAAGACATAAATAGGGAAGCAGTAAAGAGGAAAACATTAGTCTCCCCCAGTGCTCTGACCCTATCATTTCTCTTCTGGCTCCTATTACTACTTATAGCTTTTCCAGAAAAAAAAAAAAAACCTTCCTTCCATGAAGCCACCTTGTCTCTTCTGGTTTCAAAAATTCTTCTTCATGATTTGATCGGATTCTCTCAAAGAATTCACCATTTAGATATGCATGTTTCTGGGACACTGATCTTGAAACTAATACAGATAGTGGCAAGGGCAGGCAGAAAACAGCATCCGGTCAGTATAGATAAGGTAACAGTTCAACAGCCCTACAAGTTATTGCAAACCTTGAAGACTCCAGATTTATTTATTTATTTATTTATGAGACTAATATACCGCTTTAAGTGCAAGCACTCTCTAAGCGGTGTACACCAGTAAGCAATGTATATATATATATATATTTACATTGCCCCCAACCATCTGGGTCCTCATTTTACCTACCCCGGAAGGATGGAAGGCTGAGTCAACCTTGAGCCAGTGAGATTTGAACCGCTGACCTGCTGAACACAGTCAGCTAAAGTGGCCTGCAGTACTGCACCCTAACTACTGCGCCACCTCGGCAGATCACTAAATCATCAAGAACCCCTCTGTTACATGCAGAGCACGTAGACATCCTTCTTTTGGAATTCACTATTCTCATCCAAGAAATTACTTGAGTCAAATGTCCTAGGATTTTCCCAGCACAGAGGATCAAAATGCACTGAAACCCCAAATGGAAGACCAGTTGAGACTTTAAGGAGACAGGAAGATACAGAGAGCAAAAGTAGCTAGTTCCCCCCCCCCCAAGGAAACAAATTGTTCTGAATTCTTTCAAAAATAAGAAGATATAAAATTAACATTGAAACAATTTACAAAATTTCAACATACTTGGTGTTTGACCAATGCGTGTTCATGTTTAAAGACAGAAAATTATGTTAGTTGAAATGAAGAACATAACAAGTCTGATTTATCTGCTATGTTTCACCAGTGTAAACAGCAGTTATCTTTTTCAGATTACAAGTTGAATTCATGTAATCTTATGTTATTAGAAATGCTTGAGACTTTAAAGTTATCTGTTCAATATCTTATTCCTTTTCTCCAACAAAAGAAAATCATTATTTTGAATTATTTAAAAATACCCTTTAGTTGTGTTAATATTGTACTGCCTTGACACATCAGCACAATTTTTATTTAAAGGCTTTGACACATTTCTCTATGGTGCTCTTTACCCAGAATGAGATTGAGGGATTAAAACATCCCAAATCATTACAGAAAACTAGGACAGAGACAATGGGTGCTTAGTTAGCTTGCTACAGACATTTACCGATAATGTCATATTCAGCCTTCACCATTCTCTGGTAGACCTTCCTTTTAACTTAGGTTTTTCTTGAAGGCATTTCTTCACCATCTTGAAGGCATGTCTTCACCATCTTCCCTGCTCTCCCAACCTCCGCCAACTCCAAGAACATTTATGCAGTGGCTGCATCTGGATTTCATAAATCTGGATTTCATAAATCTGGATGACCACTATCTTGCAGTTAAAGAGATGAAAAATTGGCTGCCATCTAGTGATCAATAGGCTCACTAGATGGCAGCAAATTCTTTATCTCTAATTGCAAGATAGCAATCCAGATCTATGTAATCCAGATACAGCTGCTACATAAATGCTTTGGGAGTCGGCATTCAAGAAAGGGATTTTGGTGCATGGGAGTGACTGTTCTCTGCTACACCCATCCAAAATCATTACTGAACTGTTGATTGACTAGTGGGCAGGAGCAAAGGGCTACAGTTTGTTCTATAACTTGCTGTCATCTGGTGGTCTGTTGACTGGAGCAGCAACAATGCAGCCATTGGATAGTATTCAGACACTCATTAGTGGACCTTAAGGAATCTTAATAATTGCATCATAGCAGTTTATAGATCATAGGAAAGGGTAGGATAAGAAAAACTGTATTTTGAAGTTTTATCTGTACCAAATAACATTCTCTCATATACCATACTTTTCAAATGAAATTACACAAGGACATAAACTGTCTCATCCAATAGGATTGTCCCACCCAATACCCTTGGCAGAACAGGTATGTTCTGGAACCATCGAGTCAAGGAAAATTTCCTTGTTTCCCAACCTTGGCCTAATAGATGCATAAAAGGCATGTTTATCTCAAAAAGCCATTGAAGTTTATTTCTGTGGTTGTGTAATCTTAAACCTCTGCATATTTTCTAGAGCTACGTCAAGCCTATTCAATCTGTCCCAAGGACTGGACCTGAAGCCCCGTAAACAATCTATTCCTGATACAATTTCATTTCTGGGTTCACTCATTATTTAGTTTAAAAAAAACATAAGTAGCTTTAATGTTTGCTGATGTGGTTTGTTGCTTTGTATATGGAATTAGATGGAATTCCATCTAGAAAATAGATGGATCACAGAAAGAGGTAACATGCCAAATTTCATAGATCTAAATGCTGGGGTTTTAAGCTGGACATTTTTGAGAATCTGAAAAGTGCCTTTTTTTTTTTTGCTTTTTATTTGGATGGGGTAACATTTGCATGAAAAAATGGTTTATGCTAGTGTCCAAAAATTTTAAAAAATTAAAATTAAATTAAAATATGTTTCAATTGCATATATTGTCAAACAAATATTATAGTTCAGTCATATACAAGACACAGTTTATGAGTCTTTAAAACAACTGTTAGATATCAACAGATTTAACATAACATTATATTTAGTCCAAGCATATCAATAAAAGATCACCTTTATTTTCAAATATAAGTCCACAAACTCAGTTTCTCATAGTTCTGAGAACATTGTATAAAGTTAAAATCTCCACTACAAATTATATATTGCTAATTTGCAGAATGTAGCTTAGAGAAACATCAATGAAACTTTTCTTAACTGAGCCAAAACATGTAGTCTAATCATAGGTAAAAGTAGCTATCTTTGCTATAAAAATTATTGTATTGGTATTCCACATCAATTTTACGATTGCCTTAACGTGTAATAGCCATCCCACATATTTTGTTACTTTCTCCTAATTATAGAACACAACTGTCCACTGAACGTTTAACGGCTCGTATAAGGGGGGATTGATTCTTATTCTGGAAGATCATAAACAGAGACATTATATCCGTGTCTTTGGTGTCCCCATCCAGGTAGAAGGTGAAGTTCTGGAGCAGAGTGCTGAAGAACAGGAAGAGCTCCATCCTAGCCAGGGCCTCTCCTGCACAGGCCCTCTTCCCTGAAATAGCAAAAAAGAAGAAAGTACAGCTACTAGATTTGTGTCTGATAAAAGAATAACATGGATTGGTTAAACATTTGAATTTGTAATACAATTTGTTCTAGAGCAGGGGGAGGCAACCTCGGCTCTTTTTTGACTCATGGACTTCAACTCCCAGAATTCCTGAGTCACCATAGCTGACTCATGAATTCTGGGAGTTCAAGTCCACAAGTCATAAAAGAGCCGAGGTTGCCTACCACTGTTCTAGAGGCACATATCTGCTGAGAATGGCATGAAGGCATGTCTTTTCCTGAACTGGCCCTTTTCATCCAAAAAATTATCTGAGTTGAACTTCTCTAGAGTTTCCCATTGAGTAGAGTAAAAATGTACAGAGGTGAGGACTGGCACAACAGTCGTGTTCTAGAGGGAGAGGAAGAAACAAGATGACTGATACTACTTCATGTGGAGAGAAAGAGTCTTTGGTTCCCACTTGCCTAACATAAAACAGGACAGTTGGGAGTACTCTGTAAATGCTTCGTGAACCTGGAGGGAAGGGAGCTACATTGGTTTAATGCATATTTATTCGAACTTCCTTGGATATGAAAGATCTCTTGATACATAACAGTCATCTTTTTTTTTCTTTTATTCCACATAATATCTTGACAAATGGCTATATCACCACATCTTGGGAATGGTGTAACCACGGAATTTTGTGTCACAAACTGTTGCCTGGGGAAGGTTGTCAAGATTCATTTTCTGATGCTGTTGCACCTCCTGGATCACGGCATTTGTGAAAGGCTTCTTCAAAGTTTCCTCCATGCTTGGAATGAGGTTTGCACCCACCCCGTCATCAATCTCCTGCTGTACCCTAGCTGTGAGAGAAAAATATTGAGAAGAGGTTCAGAGCCTTTCACTTTCTCAGCCTTTTACACCTTCATTGAACTACCATTTATACAGGAGGTTGCACAGCAAAACATGGCTTGTGGTTACTGTCCCAGCAGCAAAGAGCCCATGCACACTATTCACAACAGTTTCAGTAGTGTAGATATCCTCAAGTCAGTTCTGCCTGAAAAGAAAACAGAAAGGGAAATGGAAGAATAAAAATTCTACTGGGAATTGAAATAAAGTATTTCATGAAACTCTTCATGAAATTCTTTTTTCAATTATAGGAAATGTAATTTAACCAGACTGACTTTAGAATATATGGAAAAAGTCTTCAATTCTAAGATATTTTTTGTATCCGCATTAGATGCCGAGGAAGGAACAGCTTGCTTGTCTCGTAAAATTTAAATTAGCCCAAAAAGCAAATTTCTATACATACTCATTTTTAGAAGAATTATGTCTTAAAAAATAGTAGCCTTCATTTCTAATGCTTGGCCTAATTGGGAGAATAGTATGGATAAGTTTAGAAACAATTATGCCTGCAATAGGAAAATATGCCAACAAATGGCTATGAAGTTGCTCCAAAAGTAAGCAAAAAAGAAGGGAAGAATAAATATTGTCATATTCCTTCATATGGGATGGACTCATCTGAGGTGTGATGTTGGAGAAGGCTCCTGCATATTCCTTGGACAGCAAAGGTGACTAACAAGCAAGTACTGGAATGCATAATGCCAGACATGTCACTGGAAGGCAAAATCACAAAACTGCCTCCTGCCAGGGAATTTACTGGAGAAAGCAATTATGTTTGGAAGAGTTAGCTGTAAAAGGAAACATGCCAGCAAAGAACACAGTGTCTGGACACCTTCAAAGCTGACACCAGCCAGAGCACAGAACAACTCAAAGAAGTAGGGCAAGATCGGAAGATGAAGAAGAATGATTCTTCTTCTTCTTCTTCTTCTTCTTCTTCTTCTTCTTCTTCTTCTTCTTCTTCTTCTTCTTCTTCTTCTTCTTCTTCTTCTTCTTCTTCTTCTTCTTCTTCTTCTTCTTCTTCATCATCATCATCTGGGATGAACTAGTTTCATCTTAGATGCATATTGGAAATATTTATACAGTTATGCAAATAGGGTATCTATGCCTACCTTCTCCATTCTAAGAAGAAAGCAATCGATATAGTCACGCGAGGTCTGGGGATCCAACATCTTCTTGTGCAATTCCACCTTCTCATGGATATAATCAATGCTTTTTTAAAAAAAAAAGGTGCTGGAACTCACACATACAAACTGCCTTGCCTACCCTACAAGGTTCCATCCAAAAAGGTGCCGGAACTCCATTCTGGGCGTTCTGTGAGAAAAAAAGCCCTGGATATAATCACAGAATTATTTCAATGTCAGCAAAAGACTTGATATGTTGTCCAAAAAAGTATTCCATTGTTTTTGGGAAAATATTGTACACCTGTCACATAGCACACATTAAAAATTATGCTTCTTTAGGTTATTATTGTGGAGGCTTAACGCCCCAAATATTCAGATAGTAGCTTTTACTCTGATATTACTAATTGTCAACCCTCAGATGGGTTCAAGATCAAAATACAAGAACCACAAGAATTTCAGTATACTATTTTTAATTCTAGGCACAGGTAAATATAGAATCTAGAAAATTATAATGGCAATGTATATTTCTAATAAGTTAATTGAAGAATAGCATCTTTAAAAGCTTTTCCCCAGATGTCTCCTCAGCTAGGCTCTGTCAAGCAACTCGCCCACTGTTTTCCTAGCCTCCACCCCCCTCTATTCCACAAGGATAATGGTGAAAAAAGCCAAAGTCCTTGAAGACTGGACAAAGAAGTTGCCTGTGCAGATAAACATAAGGGAACTGTCAAAAAAGCCATGATAAGGAGAGATGCACCTGTCCACAATTTGATACGATAATTAGCACTGCTAATATGATTTATACAGTACCTGTACATACAGCATTGCACTTAAAAAATATTATATATAATATAGTATTTTAGTGTGAATGTAATATTGATATTGTCCTTATATCACAAATGTATTGGCTGCAGGGAGGTAGAGACTGGCTGGATGTCATTTGTTAAAACAACAAGGAATGATGCATGAGAACTAAAAACAACTTTTCATTCAAGGGATTAAGAAACTATAGAGAAACATTAATATTAGGAGGAATCAGCCCCTTCAGTGAAATCCCATATTTGGACCTCTCTGACTAGTTAAGAAATAAGTGATTCTTAGAAACAAGCAGGTCAAGGACCAAAGGAATTACAAGAGAAGGAAATGATCCCATGGGAAATAAGAAGTTTGCTGAGAACCAATTGATGTTTGGATAGCTTAGTTTTGCTAGATGTCTAGAACTAGTTTGTCATGCTTAGTCACTCATCACATCTAGACTTCACATCTCTGATTTGGACACTGTCACACACACAGAGGCCCACGAGTAAAAATGAGTGTTTGTGATAGGAGGAACATCAGAGAGGAAAAACATGCCAGTCCTAGGAAACTAGTAAGAAATCTTATTTGAGACTCCACAATCTGCAGGTTCTTTATGAAGATAAGATCTTTATAATCAAAATGATTGCCAAAGACGACTGCACAGATCACATTAGAAACAGTACTTGCAAAATTTCTTCTTGGGTCAAAAGGCTGCCCTGCAACAAGAGCCACAGAAATTTATGAGAGGGATCAAAGAATGTGGATCTTCCCTTTCACAATTCTCACCACAAAATTGGAAAAAAAAGTGGTTCAGGCCAAAGACGTTGAGATGAGTATTTTTTCCCTCTTATCTACAAAAGTAATATGAATGCAATATTAAAATACTATAACCACTTTAAACAAGATACAAAGTAGCGTTTCCATGTTTCACTTTGAAATCCACCATGTTTTCCTTTCTGCCGTTAGATCAGAGGTCCCCAACCTTTTGGGCACCAGGGACCGGTTACGTGGAGAGAGATTTTTTCCACGGACCAGAGGGGGCATGGTTTTGTGTGCTGCCTGCATCCTGTGGATTGGGCTTTCCTTGCTTGTGTGGACCGGTTGCTGACATGCCATGGCCCGGTACTGGTCAATGGACCGGGGGTTGTGGACCCTTGCCCTACGTCACCTATCACATTCATCCACAATGTCCTTTGGTGGCTGCTGATTCTGCCTGGTGTTTGATTTAGAATTATGTTCATGCTTATTTTTAAGCAATTTCTTTTGCTTCTCCTTCCAGTTTTAACTGAGCACTCTGTTCCCTACATCCCTCTCTCCTTTAATCCATCCAACACTTTAAAAAAAATAATTCCAAACACTTTTTTCTATTTCTTTTCCTACCTCCTTCCAGAACAATCTTGTCCACTGAAGATGGTTTTCCAAAGAGCTCTAACTCCCAGAATAAATTTGATTTAAATGCACTTAATTCAATCCACATTACCTTACAGTTCTCCATCTCTCATGCATCCTTATTCATGATTTTCTTATATCCCTTAGTTTACCTATCTCAATTATCCATAAAGTGTTTTGATGATTGATGAATTTGCTTGATATATGATTTAACATAACATTTCACTTCTTTTGAGCAAACTTGTAATTTTATGAATTTATAATTATCCCATTAATACTTCCTAGTATTTCTGATCTCTTAGTTGGTGCAACCAGATTAAGATTTTAGTACAGTGCTTCTGAGCAAGCTTGTAATTTGGCCAAAATTGTGGAAACCTTTTGGGAAAAGTGTACAGTAGAAATGCCACCTTTGGTTAAGTTTCCACCAATTTTTCTTCTAATTTCTTTATAACTGTAGCCTTGTTCACTTAATAATACTATTTTACATTGCTTTCTGGGTGACCAGTCAACTCTTTGCACCATTACTTTAATTTTATTATGTTTCACAAGCTCACTAAATGAAAGAACACAAAAAAACCCAACCAACATGATAGCAATCACATAACACATTGACAAATGTCCTCCTCTCAGCTTCAATACATGACATCAATAACTGAATCCAACTGTGATCTGTTTGGCTCGTTGCCAAAACAAGATGACACCTGATTGGCTCTCTAAATACTCATGCTCTTTGGCTACAATCAGATGAAGGAAAGCTACCTGATATCAACCTAAGCAAGTTGTGCTTCCTTTTTCTGGTTATTTAGCTATAATGTTTCATAGAATTCAGTACAAATAATTGAACAAACCTTGTTGCATTACATTCTTGATTAAATTATCTTTCCATTGATATATAATGTTATGGCACTACTCCCAAAAAAGTGGTGTTATTAGCCATCAAACCTCAAAAATACACATTTCCCAAAAGGTTTCACAATTTTGGCCACTACTGTAATGAAGTCAAACATGGATAGTGGATAGAAAAAAAGGGAGAAACAGCTTCAAAGCTTCCGGTGTGTACTTTTCCCTTTGTTTATTTTCCCTTTGCAAAAATAAAAGGGAAGGGGGCGCTCACTGCCTATCTTAATGTTTTTCTTTACTTTGTGCACTTAAGTTCAGAGAATGTTTTTGGCTGAGGAATTCTGGGAGTTGAAGTCCACAAGTCTTAAAGTTGCCAAGGTTGGAGACCCCTGGATTAGTTGACCTATCTTGCAGAAAATAGCATGAGCTGCTGCAGGCTCCCCACTACAGCTGATCCACCATGGACATTCATACCCAGCTGGCCCTCCGCCAAAGCTCCCCTGCCACCACTGGTCCACTTGCCCTCTTCCCCTGCCCCCTCATTCCTGGCGATTCGCAGGAGGACACTTGTTCCCCACCAATTGCCTGGGTGGGACATTTCTTCCTATCCCCTTGCCCCCCACTTTGCAATCCCAAATCCAACAGGAGCAGCATCTGCTGCCTTCCCTGCAACCCAGCATAGAGAACCTCTTCCACAACTAGCAAAAGGAACAAGAATGGCAAGTGGTTCCCAGCACCACTTTCCTTAAGCGATTGTGACCTGCCCAGATGAAAGAGTCCAGACACTCTTCACACTGCTGGTTTCCTCACTTTGTAAATGCAAAGGGCAGCCGCTCACAATTTCTATGGATACTTGTGTCTCCAGGTTCCTCCAGCGTTCAGAGTACTTAAAGCAAGGCAGATTATAGTTTCAGGATGAGAGGACAATGGGAAACAGCCATTTTTAATTCCACCATGCTGGGGAGGGCTTGCAACACCAGGTTGCAAGCAGGAACAGCAGAATTGCTATGCTTGCACTTATGGGAACAACAAGTCAATTAAAAAAGCTGGTTTCTGGATGAATCATTGCTTCTAGAAATCAAGCTGTGCTCTGTTCAGATGGAATTTATTGTCCACCTGGGAATCCTGACAAAGAACGTAGAGATGCCTCTTCTCATCACAGCCACTGCTTGTTCTTTGCATTATCACTTTGGGAAGACAGTAGAAGTTCTTCCTTGAATTCATCATATAGTTCAGTAATGGTGAACCTTTTAGAGACCAAGTGCCCAAACTGCAACCCAAAACCCACTTATTTATCGCAAAGTGCCAACATGGCAATTTAACCTAAATACTGAAGTTTTCATTTAGAAAAAACAACTCATACATTAACATTTTTTGTCTTAAAAGAAAAACACAATAACAAAGCTTTCAACGATACAAACAATTTTTATTGCAAAGTAAAAGTTTGCATTAGGCATGCTTTTGAACAATTAATGTGATTTTTGCTGTTGTATGCATGCTGATAATTTGTCTAACCTTGGCTCATACTTTGTACATTTGAGAGCAACACATGCAGCACTCAGGTAATCTGTTAGTCTGTTTCTGGTGTCAGATTTGCTGTAATTTAAAGCTGAAAACAGTGCGCTCGCTCCGGAGGCTTGTTTTGTCTAGGAAGGGCTTGAGAAATGGCCTTTTCCTGCGAAAACCTAGCCAAAGAGCAAGGTGCATGTGCCCACAGAGAGGGATCCAAGTGCCCCCTCTGCCACACATGCCATAGGTTCACCACCACTGATATAGTTTATATATTTAGTTGATTTGGGTTTCAGAATTTGATTTGCTTTAATGGAAAGGAGTTTCAAATATGAGCACTGTCTTGAACTAAATGTCTCCAAGCATATGCAGAGTGCATTCCCTTTCTCGTTAAAAAGTCAATGCTAAAGTAAATATTTTTTTTCCTTTTCCCCTTCCTCGCTCCCTTCTCCTGCCCAGTTCTTATTAAACCAAGCAACGAACGCTCTGGTATGGGATTCTTGTTCTGTTGTCTCATCATGATTAATGGGTTTGTAGATTCTCTTAGTCTGGCTCCTTAGTTGAGACCTGTGTGACTTGGGCCATCCTTCTGGTATACTTTCTGGTGATATACCTTTAGCATAGCTCTCAACCTTAACAGAAAACACAAGCACCTTCCCCATTACACTTCAGTATCCACATGGAGGGACTCTAGTCTTAGATTTATTAGGACAGAATATGTGTCTGAATTTCAACAACCTAATATCAAACAGGATGGCTAGAGGAAGAGAAGGTTTCAGTGAATTTGATGCTAATACAAATGATACAAATCTGAGGCTCAGAAATTTTCTACATATTTTCTTTTTACTACTTCTTTTATAATGAACTCTGAAGTTTCATTGTGGGTTGATCAGATGGTTACAAGGTGAATTTAAACTAAAATTCCTGCTGAAGATACAGATGAGCCCCCAATAAAATTAGATACTTATAGGAAATCAAACTCATAAAATTAGGGAAAGGCATAGATATCTTTCAAAGTGATCACCAGAAACTTTGAAGAAGAACAATAATGAACTAACCTTACCTTTGGATAATATTTAGCCTGCCTCCTTGGGCTACCATGTGTACTCCCCTGAGAGATGAACCCCAGCACCCCTCTCTTGTCTGATCTGATGGATGAGCAGATGTAATTGGGAAGAGGCAGTCCTTCAGATAACCGTAATAACGTTTGAACCCTTGTAAGACTTGAGTTTTTCCCTGCACCAGTTTGTTAAAGTACTGAGTTCAGTACTATGAGCATGGATTGAATACAAACTGCCTGAGATAAAACTTAACTCAATTTTCTATTCCCCAATCCTTTTAAAAATTGTTTCAATAGACTTGAGGTTTCAGATAGTTTAAAGTAACACCACAAAGACATGTCTACTGTGCTCAGCAGGAGGTGATTTACCAGCTAATGTTAAACTATGGCTTTTCTATATTGATAATTTATTCATTAAAAGGTAAATAGCATTTAATCTTATTACCCTTTATTTTCTCATTTTAAGCCTGAAAAATGGAAAGTGGTAGTTTTGTTTTTATCAGTGGATAGGTCTGCTTGTATCTGGTTTTTTTGTTTTGTTTTGTTTTGTTTTGTTTGCAGGAGAAACAAAGAAACCTTGTTCAATTATCCACAGCACCTATAATTCAGCAACAGGATTAGATTCCAGATAATGAATGCACAGGACCATGCTACTTAAGAGTCTACATACAATTCATTATGCAAGACTTTGGTAACTATGGTCTTCTATGATTAGGGACATTTCATTAGAATTAAATATCTTATATTAGGATCACAAATGCACTTTTGGAAAAATATATCTAAAACAATTGCTTCCTCTAGTCCAGACATGTCAAACGCGTGATGTCACCTGACGTCGCACAACGTATCGGGATGGTTCTGCCATTGCTGGCAATGGGGTGGGCGCAGCTTCCACGTGACACGTCCAGCCAGCAGGCCAGCAATTTGACATCCCTGATTTAGTCTAACCCTTCAAATCATGTGCAGACCACCAGCTACTTACTTAATTAGTCCTTGTCCTGAATTCTTGACAATCTGCAAATTAAAATGTGTCTTGCCCTTACCTTGTTCTACTGTTTATGAAGAGTGAATTGTGTTTCATTGTCATTAGTGGGGTCATCAGCAAAAGGGAGTTCATGCAGGAAGAGTTCCCTTGAAATGTTTACTTTTTTAGTCCTTGTTTGAGTGCTGGTATCAAACTGTTTATGAGATACCCTCTGCCCCACCAAATAATGGAAACCTGATTTATATCCAACTCTATTCTGGAAAGCTCACTGGTTGGACTTTGGAAATCACTTCAAGGTTGGTTAGATTTCAGTGTTTGTAGAAAAACAGAACCCAATATGAACAGAGTCTGTTTTACTTTGAAACAGATTCTGTCCTGCTGCCATAATTTTTATGTTTGCTTCACACTTTCACCCATTTGACAAGCTGTATTTTCCTGGCTCTATCACTGATTAAGCTACTCTCTATTTAGTGCCTGGTTCGGTCCAGCCAATTGAAATACTCCAATTTTCCATCCTGTTAGTATCATTTACATGGCCCATTATGAGGAAGAAATGAGCCTTGTGTTACAAACCAGAGATGATCTCTCTGTTTATTTTATGAAGAATTTTCTCTCATGGATGTTATGAGACATATGTCAAGAGTTAAAGTATTTGGTCCTTAGGAAGAGGCCATTGTATCTCCAATATTCACATTCATTGTTTGTGTTGAGTCCTCAGCTATTGGCAATAAGTCACGAAGCATCTCGTAGTTTCAGGAGCCTCTTTATTGTTGTTCTGTAGCCCCATTACAACTCTGAGGCATGCAAGCCTCTCAGCCTCTCTTAATAACAATCCCCGGGCCAAAAGGCAACATTTAGGCCTGCAGTGTGCCTCGCGCATGCGTGCGAGCGCTGGCGCCAGCCAGTCTGGTCCCGGGCAGCTTGCAACTGCCCGGGACTGTTGCAACGTCCCGAGCCTGCCTTTGCAGGCTCAGGACACAACACCCCTTCCCCCCCGGCTAAGACTATAACTACATGAATAGTTACACGCGACCTCAACACGAGCGTGGTGTGCCAACCCCTGCTCCAATGGTGCCGGGCTATTGTTCTGGAGATTAATTCCCCAGTGCCCATATTTCCAATTTCCCACAGGAACACCCTCTCACTGTTTCTGCTTTGCCAGCAGAGTTACAAAATCTTCAAGGTACTTAGGAGATTTCTTAGCTCTCTGTGATCTCCTTAGGCCCTGATAATCTTCAATTACATTTTGCCCAGGGAATGATATGGGTTCGCCCCCTTTCTCGGACCCTGGTGGTCCCCATGGACCATGCCCCATTGCCTGGTCTGCTTGCTTGCCCACCGGGCTTGTCAGACCAGGACTTTGTTCCCTCCATAACCTGGTTGACCTAGTTGCAGGCTCTCTGGCCCCTCTAGAGGACTGCCACTGTTGGGCAACTCTGTAGAGCCTCCCAGGCCCATACTGAACCTATCGTGAGGCTGCCTTCCTCCACTCCCCAGTTCCATAGTAGGACTGTCTGGGTTTTCAGTACTATCCCAAAACTCATTTGCACTCTCAACCATGCCGGAGATGTCAGAATTGGGATTTGCCCCTCCGACCACCTCCCAGTGTGAATGCCCCCTTCTGGGAACAGTAGCAGTGCTGGGCCAACTAGACAGATTGTGTGCCAGCTCTCTTGCAATGTTTGAATTATTAGGATGCTCCCAGTTATTCTCCCTGACTGGAGTGCTGAATGGTGCTAGTGGATGATGAGTATGCCCCCTGGGTGACTCCCTGGCTGGAGTAGGTGCCTCTGTGCTAGCTAGTTCCCACGAATTCCTGTTTGGAACACTCGCGGAATCTTGTGATAGGCCATCTGTGGCCTCTCTGTTGGTGCTTGGCTGCTGCCAACACCCATCCCTTTGCCCATAGAGGTCCCCCTCCCCCCTGGAAAAGAACCAGGAGTCTCTGAAGGTAAGTCCAGTCTTGTACGCAGCTGGTCGATATGCCGTCATCCAACGAGACCTCGTATGACAAGGGACCTGTAACCTTGCATACTACAGCACGAACCCACAAGTGACCTGGCCCGTAGTTACGGGTCCATAGCAGGGCACCCACTTGCAATTGCCTCGGTGCCCTGGGTTGTGTAACCTTAGGAGGCAGTCTGTCCGGATGCAACCGGTCAAGTTTAGTAATCAGTTTGCACCCCCAGCAAAGTTCACCTGGGCTTCTTCCTGTAGAAGTTGAAGGTGTGGTGCGGTAAGCAAGAAGAAAATCAGCCAACCTGTGGTGCCAGTCCCCATAGGTCAGTTTCTTTAAAGCATCCTTGGTGATGCGGACCATCCGTTCAGCCATACCGTTGGTGGAAGGGTGGAAAGGCGCAGAGGTGGCATGACGAATCATGTTGGCCTGTAAGAAAGCTTGGAATTCAGAAGAAGTGAATTGAGGGCCATTGTCAGACACCAAAACATCCAGAAGCCCATGTGCAACAAAAATCCCCCTCAGTATTTGAATGATCTTTGCAGTGGTGGTGGAAGAGACAGGTACAACCTCAAGCCATTTTGAATAGCTATCAACCAGGACCAAGAAGAATTGACCCTGAAAGGGCCTAGCATAATCGATGTGCACCCTAGACCATGGTGACTGTTTCCTCCCATCAATGCACAGGAGCCTGGGGCATTTCTGGGCATGAGCGCTGACAAAGGTAGCATGTGTGCACCTTAGCATCAATTTCTTTGTCTAACCCAGGCCACCACAAATGGCTGCGCGCAAGCGCCTTCATTCGTACAATGCCAGGATGACCCTCGTGAAGGGAACCTAAGACCCTAGACCTCATTGAGGTAGGAATGACAACTCTGCTGCCCCACAGCAGACAACCCTGAAAAGTGGATAACTCATGTCTCTTAAGCCGGAAACTCTGAAACTCAGTGCCTGGACAACTCTCTGGCCATCCAGACAAAACCCAGGATAAGACACGAGAGAGTGTGAGATCTGTGGCTGATTCAGCAGCCACATCCCTGGAATTTAAAGGTGACTCAGGCAGTGCCTGAATGGAAAGGATGTTGATGGCAGGTGCAGGATCAGCCTCCACTACTTGTAAGAGTAATCTACTGAGGCCATCAGCATGGCCCATTTCTTTGCCAGGTTTGTGAATTAAGGAAAAATCATAAGCTGACAGAAAGATTGACCATCTCAGCATCCTGGGGGAGATGATGGGGGGGTTGTTTGTTTGTAGTAAACAACTCCAACAGAGGCTTACGATCAGTGTAGACCGTGAAATGTCTGCCATATAAAAAATCATGGAATTTTTTAATTCCAGCAACAACAGCTAAGACCTCCCTGTCTATCTGGGCATAGTTTCGCTCAGCAGAAGACAAGGTTCTGGACTAATACGCAACAGGAACCTGAGTTCCATCCGGTCTAAGGTGGCTAAGTACTGCTCCCACCCCATAAGGGGAGGCATCACAAGCGATGCACACAGGGAGAGTTTCATTAAAATGTGCAAGCACATTATTGGATGTGAGTAAGGCCTTAACCTCATTGAAGCTTGCTTCATGTGCTTGTGACCACTGCCACACTGCCTTTTTGTCCAGAAGCCTATGAAGTGGTTCAGCTACATTAGCCTTGTTGGGAATGAATGAATTGTAGAAATTCAAGAGGCCCAGGAAAGCTTGTAGTTCAGCTTTGGACTTAGGTCTAGGAGCTTGCATGATAGCTTTTAATTTGGACTCAGCAGGATGAATCCCATTGGCATCAATTTTGAATCCCAGAAAATCTGTAGAAGGCACCCCAATTTTACATTTGTCCTTTTTAAGTTTGAGGCCTGTTTTCCGGAACCGCAGCAGGACAGCCCTCAATCTCTCAGCTAAATTTTGAGTGGAATCTCCAACAATTAAGACATCATCAAAATAGGGGCAAACCCCTGGTATACCTCTCAAGGTATTTTCCATTATGATTTGGAAAATTCCAGGAGCCACATTTACTCCAAATTGTAGTCTTTTGACTTTGAATGCCCACCTGTGTGTTACAATGGTTTGTGCTATAGCAGCAGCTTCATCAACAGGTAACTGTTGATAAGCCTGTGCTAAATCTAGCTTTTCAAAAACACACACACCCTTGAGGGAAGCCAGAATATGGCTGACTACAGGTACAGGATAGGTATGTTGTTGCAATGCCTTATTTATAGTGCATTTGTAATCTGCACAGATGCGAATGTCCCCATTAGCCTTAAGAGGCGTGACTATGGGAGTTTCCCAAGGACTGGAGTCAACAGGTTCTAAGACTCCTTGCTGAATCAATTTGTCCAATTCAGCATCAATTTTCCCTTTTAAAGCAAAAGGTACTCTCCTTGCTTTTACTCTGATAGGAGTGGCAGTGAGGTCCAATTTTAAGGAAACTGGGGGCCCTTTGTATGTGCCCAGCTGTGAGCTGAAAACATCTGCAAATTCTTTGCAGACTTCCTGTAGACCTACTGTTTGCAAGCTATTGAGCCCTGTAACTTGTATTCCCAAGGCCTCAAACAAATCGAGTCCTATGAGACTCGTGCGCTCACCCCCCACTATCAATACATCTAATGGACCTTCAAAATCCTTATATTGTACGTTATGGGTGGCCTCCCCCTTAATACACACTTTGGAGTTTTGAAAGTCTGTTAGAACTATATTAGAAGGCCTAAGCTTGGCCTGGAATCCACTACCAGAACAAATCTTTCTGAATGTGTGAATGGAAATAATTGAAAGTGCAGACCCACTGTCTAGTTCCATGACCAATGGAACTCCTTGCAACTTCACTTTAAGTGACAGTTTCTTTTTGAGTAGCTTGTGTGTGCCTGTCCTATAAATGCTTCTTCGTGAAGTACAGAAATCCAACCTGTTTTGGCTGGGGAACCTGGTACCTTTCAGGCGCAATTCTTCTCGGGGTTGTACCTTCTGACGGCCCAGATACACAGCTGCTATGTGGCCTTGCTTTCCACATGCTCTACAGATTGCAGAACGGAACCTGCAGTCGGTCCTCTTGTGGCGACCTCCACACCCGAACCACTTGGGTACAGCTGAAGACTTTTCTTTGCCTTCCTTCTGCTTTCTTTCTTTAGTTGGGTAGAGATGATCCACCTCTTCATCAGGGTCCTCTTCCGAGCTCTCCTGGACTCCCTCATGGTGCACGGAAACAGCTTCTGGAGTATTTCTGATTGGCCTCATATTCTTGATTGCCCCGCCTGCTGCTTCTTCTGCAGTAATCTCTCTCAAGGCATCTTGGAACGATATTTCTTCTTTAGCAAAATGTCTCTGCTGCAAGTCTCTGTTTCTCAGCCCACATACAAATATGTTTCTCAGCCTTTCTTCTAAGTCTTTAAACTCACAAGGCTTAGCTGCTCTTCTCAATGTAGCAATGTACTCTTTAGCTGATTCACCAGCCCGTTGATCCCTCTGTTCAAAGGTATGTCTCCATGCAATAACAGACAACTTGGGCTGAAAATGTTCTTTTAGTAATTTCTTTAAATCTGTGTATGTAACAGATTCAAGAGGTGCAGGGGCTGCTAAATTTTCAGCAATTTCAAATGCATCTTGACCACAAACACACAGCAGGGTGGCGGCCTTTAAGCCATCTTCTCTCACTTGATTTACTCTGAAATAGTTTTCTACTCTGGCCACATAAGACTCCCATCTTTCTGGATGCGTAACATCAAACTCAGAAAGTCTTCCTATCTTTGCCATTTTTGCAGTAGTACGGAAAGGGTCTATCAGCCAGCTTACCTCCAATGATGCTGTATTGGCAGGCAGTTGCTGAGTTTAACACCGTCTTCCTAGCTGCTTCAGGACTCCAGGGTAAGCTTACAATGTCTTCAATTGATTGTAAGGCATCCCATCCTCGTTGCCAGTGGTGAATCCTCAGCTATTGACAATAAGTCAAAAAGCATCTTGTACTTTCAGGAGCCTCTTTATTGTTGTTCTGCAGCCCCGTTACAACTCTGAGGCACGCAAGCCTCTCAGCCTCTCTTAATAACAATCCCAGGGCCAAAAGGCAACATTTAGGCGCGCTGCGCGCCTCGCGCATGTGCGCGAGCGCTGGCGCCAGCCAGTCTGCTCCCGGGCAGCTTGCAACTGCCTGGGACCGTTCCAACGTCCCGAGCCTACCTTTGCAGGCTCAGGACACAACAGTTTGGATATACTCAGCTTTAGCGATGGTCAAAAAAGACATGTGCATGTAATAAACTGATTTAACCACAACAACACATTCCCTTATTTCTTTCAGAAGGATCAGAACAACAAATTTAATAGTGATTGGAAGTTTAAGGCAGTCCAAAATATTGAAAGAATATTCTGAAAGGTCTCAGATTGCCTTTTACTACAAAATTAACTGGTATTTACTTGCTACAGAAATTTGATAGCAGAGAAACTTGGCAGAAAATTTGCTGTTCAGTACTGCAAGACGCTCTGGATCAATGAAGTAAAGCTCTCTCCATTAATTAGTCTCATTTGTTGTACTGTAATCTGAATGTTTCCAGAGAGAATGAGGTAGAAATCAGGATAAAGAGACATCACAGAATCTGATATCTTTCTGCCTTTCTCCCATTCCCTCTTGTAGAGTATTGTACCATTTTTTCCCCTATTTGAATCAATTTCTCTGAGAACATAGTTTGATAGTTCTGCATTGCATTTCTTTTCTCCAAGAATTTTGGCTAGCAGCTGTGCTTTCACTTCTAGTTTTTTATTACTTTCATTTAATCAATATCTTTTTCATTTTGGAATGGAGATTAGTCAAGATTCCCAACAGCAGCTTCTTTTTCCACTGCCTGGATATAAGGTTCCACTTCTGTAAAGTACAGATCAGATTTTTCGCATGTTTTAAACTAGACAGATTTTCGAAATCATCCTTCCAGATTTTACTATAGTTTTGCAAAAGATAAGAAGAACAGCAGAGGATTAGGTTGCACTGCTGTGAGCAGCCACAACAACACAAATTATGTTTATTGGGTTCAATATCAATTTTTCAGGGGGACTTACATCTACAGTACTCACACTAATCATTTGATTTACCCAGAAAAGGCCAGATATCTTGCCTTTTGATCTTTTGTTATTTGCAGTTCTCTGGATTTTATTCTGCCATGTAGAAAAATCTACATATACATAGTACGAATATGAATTGCTAAGAAAATGCACATATAGTATAAAATGCATATTTGTACAGGGAGAACATGGCAAAAGATGCATATTTTCATGAAACATAAAAAAGTAGGATGGAACAAACTAACATCAGAAAATTCAGAAAAAACAATATTGGCTGCTTTATTTCCAGAATTTTATTTAAGGAATCTTCTGTATTAAGATGTGAATCCTACACCGATATTTCTTTGCTTTGTTGCAGGTCCACAGAATAAAAAGTTCCTCTTTACACCTAAATTTCCAACACACATTTGAAATACCTCTATTCATTTTGACAATTTTTCTGGTGTTAAATATCAACGGTACATGATTTTACAACAAAGTAATCTTTTAAATTATAATTTAATGTAAATTTTAAACCCTTCATCCACATATTTTCCCATCATTAAAGCATTATATTATATCCAAAACTCTTTGCTCAATGGATTATACAATGCTTCCCGTACTCATTCTCCAAATTCAATTTCAGTACAGTGATACTTCAGTAATGGACCGCTTCAAAACTCATCAAATTTGGAATTCAACACGTTTTAATGCAAAAATGTTGTCCCAGTACTCAGCATTTGTTTGGTAATCAACACACTGCAATAGGAAGAGAGGCACGGCTGTGAAGAACGGGTAGAAAGTTGGCCACAGTGGTGGGATTCAAAAATGTGAATAACCGGTTCTCTGTGTGGATGCCACTTCTGGAAGTCCAATCTGGACCTGGGCAACAAAAACATTAGCTACCGGTTCTGCGAACTGATGCGAACTGGCTGAATCCCACCACTTGTTGGCCATGCTGGGAAGGTCACTGACATAGGAAAAGGAACATACAGGAAATCTTTCCCAGCCGAAACAAAGGATCACATGGTAAATCACATGGTGTTTTTGGTACTCATCATTTTTGGTACTTGTCATGCATCATGAAACCAATTAAGGGCAAGTACCAAAGTAAGACTGTAACAGTTTATAAACCTTAGTGATATCATGTTCCTCATTACCACATAGTAAAGTATTCAATTCATTTTTTGCAAAGTCAAATCCATAATCTTTTTTTTTCTAATGAAAACCTTTCTTTTGATTGTAAATACTGTATGTAAACCAGTGACAGACACATCCTTCTAATTCCAACTCTTTTTTGGATTTGAGGGTAGGTTTTCCATGATTAAAAAGTATTATTGGACCATAGGTCCACCAGTCTAGCCTTGCCACCATAGCTTATTTTCTTTCATCTGTTCTAGCTTGCATCTTAACATGCTGACCTTATTTTTCAGCCTGATCTTCTATTTTGGTGGTACACTTTTTAGCTTTTTTTCCTTTGGATTTTTTTTTTCATCCCAGATATTCTGTTATAACTGTAGCCATGCCGTTTATTGATTGGTTTGTTTCTTGCAGTGAGTTAGCGATCAGATTTGATATTGTGGTATTGGCACCTTTTAATACTTGTGCTAGCTGTTTCTTTGGAAAAGATTTAATGCAGGCAAACTTATTTTGTTGCATTTGTGTTGTTATACATGCTCAGTTACTCTTTGTTTCCATTCCTCTCTTAGAGGGATTTGTTCTTTCTGAGGAAAAAGTGGAGGAGAAGGTGCCAAGGTTGGACAAGAAAATCATTCAATAGTTATGTTAGCTTCCCATACTTCTGACTCCCTCTGGTTTGCCTTAAAAAAACCAAAGCTTCCTCTGATACCCAGCAACATTCATCAGGCACCTTGAATAGATTGATTTAACAAAGGGAAATTATACTACAAACATGCACTATAGTGACTCAACTAATCACAACCATAACCAGTCCTCACAACAAGGAGCCTCCCATTCTTTTCTGCCATACCCTGGCATTCAGAATCTATGCAGGTGAGTGGATGTCAGGCCCAAGCAATAGATCAACATGTGATGGGTTCAAGCTGACTACTTTATTAAAATTATATGTATAGTACAGGAATCTCCCCAGACTGCTTGCCTTCTTTGGGGAAGTTTCATTGGAATTTAGGCGGTGTCACTTCTAGATCTCTTGAGGCTACACAATGATTCAAAGCTAACTCCCTATTTAGTTTCTCCTCCCCACCTCACTGGACATTTCCCAACAGTGGTGTCTTAATTTGCTATGGGTCTAAGCCCTAATATACAGCATAAACTACCATGCTGTTGGGCTTAAGCCCTAACAGACATCATACAGCCAAGGGGCTCTCCTCCATCTTTTAATGCAACAAAATTAAAAACAAGTGGGCAATCAGTTGTTAGTTCCTAAGTCTGGAACAGAGGAACTAATGAGTCAAATTCCAATCCCACACCCTGGGAACCGGTCTGCAGGGCAATGAGATTGGTGGCATAGATCTTCCAATGCCAGAAGTACCTCCCAGTATGGTAGTAAATCTATTAAATTTCAATAAAATTGAGGAGCAAACCAATATTACATTATGCAAGGAATCTGATAGTGTTTATAGCTTTTCTGTGGGACATTGTTTTAAGTGGTGAGATGTTGGACAATTCTATATTTTTAATCTACTTTGTCATTGGATATTTTTATCTGACTAATTATAATCAAAAAGAAGTTGTTTACATGTTTACCCAGTTACATTTAGCCCAAGCCCCAAGCCTCTACTGCCAAAGATATACTGGGAACCAGGATCCAAATGCTGGACAAGGAGCAAGAGCAACAGGAAGACAGATCTGGAGTCCAACAGAAGAGCAAAGACCAGGAAATAGCAATTCTATGCCCCTGTGATGCTGGGATGGCTAAATTAGGGATATTGATGTTTTCCTTTTAAGCAGTTAGGCTGATCATCTTTGCTCTGCCCTGAGTAGCTGTTGGCATGGTTCTTGAGGTATGTGCCCACCATAATCCTAACTCTAACCTTAACCCTCATGATTTGAGTTAGATATACACTGACATACGAGCACATACACACATGCAAGCACACACAAAAAAACACACGTTGTGCTCATTGTCACCTGGAACAATCTGACATATTTAATTGCTAGCCAGCTCCTCAGATCAACAGCACATTTATGTATTGGGGCTCACGGCATTGAAGCGACACGCAATACCACTTTCAATCAAGTTCTTCTTTATTCAATTCCAGTTCCACTCAACAAACAACAGGCTCACAGGCCTTTTATAGTTTCCCAAACAGCTTATCATAATTCTCCCTTTTTGTGCCTTGCACATGTGCGCAAGGCCGGCGCCAAAAAGTCTGGTCCCGGGCAGCTTTTAGAAGCCCTGGGACCATTTGCAACACTTCTGCCTCAGCAGACCCAGGACACAACAATCTGCATGTTCCGTTTCTGCCTCAGAGAATTTAGAGAGGATCACAACAAACTGGGGGGAGAGGTCATCACTTAACTAGCAAGCACCTACATCAGAACAGATGTGTGATGGTATGGTGGGTAAACTGAGGCTTTTGGGATGAGACATTGAGACCTCAAACATTTGATATATGGGCCTCAATCTCCTGCCATGCAAGTGGTCTCTGATTTGAGGACAACCTGGTTTGATTCAAACAATTTCATTTTTTACAATTCCAGCAGAAAATAATAAAAAAAGATCAAAGATCAATTTGATCCCAGAATCAAATTGAATTTAAAATATTTTTGAAGGGTATTTTTCCAAGGGTATTTTTCCAAAAGGGTATTGCCTACCACAAAATTCTATAATCACAAGAAGGATTGTTGAGTGCATTCTACATGATATAACTGTGTAAGAATCATGTAACTGGGTTACATGATTTTGTAGGCAAAACTTTCTTGGGTCAATTTATCTGCCATCAGGCAAAAACCTTTCGACAGGAGATTTTATCAGTAGTGGATGAAAAAGGAAAAAGAAAGCTTTGAAGAATTCAGTGAATGTGAAACAATATTTTCTGAGGAATGGCTTCCATTTTGAAATCCTAAGATGCATATTTTGCATTTTGTACATCTGGAACCATTGATTTTCTGAAGTTAGATGTTCTAATTATTTATTATCCACAATAATAAAGTAATTTATCAGATAAATAACTCATGCTAAGATTCATTTTATTCTTAATTCCTTACAAACTGACTGCCTTGATTCAGTCAAATGCCACATCTGTTAAGGGTTCTAAAATTTCAGTTACCTCAGACACTACTACAGAAGCTGAAGTAAATTAGTACACGTTTTAATTCTATATATTGCCAAGCAAATATTATAGTTTAATCATATAAATACTCAGTCTGTCAGTCTTTAAAACAATCATTAGATATCAACAGATTTAAACATGATTTGATCTTGCATTTAGCCAAACCACATCAATATAAATTCTTCCTTGTTACCTTTAAATATAGGTTAATCCACAACATTAATTTGTGATAATACTTCTAACTGAGATCCTTGTATGAAGTTAAAATCTTATATATTGAAAATTTGCTGAATATAGCTTAGAGAAAAAGCTAGTAAGTATTTCAGAAGTATTCTTAATTGCACCAAAATATGTAATCAGATAAGAGATAAGAGTAACTATATTTGCTATAAAAATATTGTATTTTTATTTCATATCTTTATTAAGATTGCCTTTAAATTAATAGCCATGCCACATGCTTCATTTGAGTATCTATTAGTAAAGGTGCTTTCTCCTAATTATTAACCACAAGTGTCCACTGTACGTTTAACAGCTCGTATAAGGGGGTATTGGTTTTTTCTGAAGTCATTATACAAAGACATTACATCCGAGTCTTTGGTGTCCCCAACCAGAGAGAAGGTGAAATTCTGGAGCAGAGTGCTGAAGAACAGGAAGAGCTCCATCCTAGCCAGGGCCTCCCCTGGACAGGCCCTCTTCCCTACAATAGCAATAAAGAAAACAAAACCTATTTAGGAAGTAATTACTGGGATTGTCTTTGATAAAAGAATAACATGAAACAGGTAATCATGTGAATTTGTGATACAATCTGTTCCAGAGGCTTGTACCTGCTGAGAATGGCATGAAAGCATCGTTTTTCCTGAACTGTCCCTGTTCATCCAAAAAATGATTGGGATTGAACTTCTCTGGAGTCTCCCAATGAAGAGGGTCAAAATGTACAGAAGCGAAGACTGGTACAATAGGCATATACTAGAGGGAGAGGAAGAAACAGATGCTATTAGATGATATTATTTCATATGGAGAAGAAAGTGCCTTTGCTTCCCACATGCCTAAACAGGAAATGAATAGCCATCTGCTGAACCTTGAAGAACAAGGAGAGAAGGAGTAGATATTTCTTTCAATACATATTTCTCTAAATTGCTCTTTTATTCAAACTGCCTCACGTGTCAAAGATCTAAGTTTCTTTTGTTCCCTAGAGAGCCTTCATAAATACTTGTATCATCTTACCTTGGGAATGGTGTAACCATGGAATTTTACATCACAAGTTGTTGCCCGAGGAAAGGTCTCAAGGGTCCCTTTCTGATATCGCTGAACCTCATGAACAACGGCATTTGTGAAAGGCATCTTCAACCGGTCTTCCATGCTTGGCGTGCGATTTGTACCCACCACCTCATCAATCTCCTGTTGCACCTTAGCTGTGAGAAAAAACATATTGAGATGAGATTGACAACCTTTTACTTTGCCACGCTGAGCACCTGTAGTCAGCTAACACTCAAATAGAAACATGTGTTCCAAAGCACATTCAGGAAAGACACTTCTAGTCAGGACAATGGCTCCTTCTCAAGGTCATTTCTCAGTAGAGACCATTTCAACTTTCCTAGTGCAAGATGGGATTCATATTATTTGTATCTCTGTGCCTTACTAGATATCTTGAGAGGCAGTAAGCACAAAGTATTTCTGTATGGGCTTTCTGAAGATTAGCGTCTCCACCCAAAAATGGGGTAAACAGTAGTCAGGAGAAAAGATATAGTTCTTAAATTAACTTCCTAAGCTGTTATTATATGTATACCTTATTTATTTATTTATTTATTTATTTATTTATTTATTTATTTATATGCCGCCCAATCCCAAAGGACTCAGGGCGGCGTACAAAATTAAAACAATCATCTAACAATAAAACAATAAAATAATACAATCATATCGCGAGTCCGATCATATCCCGCCCTCCCCCCCGGGGACATCAGCCCCAGGCCTGCCGGAACAGGAGAGTTTTAACGGCTTTCTTAAAGGCCGGCAGGATGGGAGTTGTTCGAACCTCGGGGAGAAGTTGATTCCACCAGGTTGGAGCCACCACAGAAAAGGCCCTTCCCTGAGGGCCCGCCAGATGACATTGTCTGGCCGACGGGACCTGAAGGAGGCCCAATCTATGGGACATCACCGGTCTCTGGGAACTGAGCGGCAGTATGCGGTCCTGTAAGTAACCTGGCCCTATGCCATGAAGGGCTTTAAAGGTGATAACCAACACCTTGAATTGTGTCCAGAGACCCACAGGAAGCCAGTGCAGCTCGCAGAGGATAGGTGACACGTGGGCGTACCTTGGCACGCCCACAATCGCTCTCGCGGCTGCATTCTGAAGCAACTTCAGCCTCTGAACGCCCTTCAAGGGTAGCCCCATGTAGAGCGCATTACAGTAATCCAGTCTTGAGGTGACAAGGGCATGAGTGACTGTGAGTAAAGCCTCTCGGTCCAAATAAGGCCGCAACTGGTGCACTAGGCGAACCTGGGCAAAGGTCCCCCTGGCCCCAGCTGATAGATGTTGTTCCAAATTTAGCTGTGAGTCCAGGAGGACACCCAAGTTGCGTGCCTGCACTGAGGGAGGTAAATTTGCCTCCCCCAGGACTAATGATGGACCATCCAGTTGACCTTTGGGAGGCAAGACCCAGAGCCACTCAGTCTTGTCAGGGTTGAGTCTAAGCCTGTTCACCCCCATCCAGACCCTCACATCTTCCAGGCACCGGCACATCACGTCAACTGCTTCACTAAAAGGTCACGGGTTGGAGATATATAATTGGGTATCATCCGCGTACTGATGATACCTCACCCCGTGTCGCCGAATGATCTCACCCAGCGGTTTCATGTGGATGTTAAAAAGGAGGGGGGACAGGACCGAGCCCTGAGGCACCCCATGATCGAGGCGCCTAGGGGTCGATCTCTGTCCGCCCGCCAACACCGACTGCGACCTGTCAGAGAGGTAGGAGGAGAACCACCGCAATACGGTGCCGCCCACCCCCACCTCTCCGAGACGACGCAGAAGGATACCATGGTCGATGGTATCGAAAGCCGCTGAGAGGTCAAGAAGCACCAGGATAGAGGAATGACCCCTATCCTGGGCTCGCCAAAGGTCATCGGTCAGTGCGACCAAAGCAGTCTCAGTGCTGTAGCCAGGCCTGAAACCAGATTGAAAAGGGTCCAGATAATTAGTTTCATCCAAGGATTGCAAGAGTTGGGATGCCACCACCTTCTCTACAACCTTCCCCACAAAGGGGAGGTTGGAGACAGGACGAAAGTTCTTCAAAACAGCTGGGTCCAGGGAAGGCTTCTTGAGGAGGGGCCTCACCACCGCTTCCTTTAAAGGTTGCGGGAAAGACCCCTCCATCAAGGAGGCATTGATTATCGCCTGGAGCCAGCCTCGTGTCACCTCCCTACTGGCAGAAACCAGCCAGGAGGGGCATGGGTCCAATAAACAGGTGGCGGCATTCATTGCCCTCACGGCCTTGTCCACTTCATCAGGGGTCACAGGCTCAAACTCACTCCAGATAACATGACTAAGACCAGCCCCCGGCAACTCGGCTGGCACTGCCCAGTCGGAGTCCAGGTCTCTCTGAATCTGAGCGATTTTGTCCGAAAGAAACTGAACAAACTCCTCAGCTCTCCCCTGCAAGGGTTCCTCCGCCTCCTCCACTTTAAGAAGGGAGAGGGTCACCCTAAACAAGGCGGCCGGGCGAGATTCTGCGGACGCAATAAGTGCAGAAAAGTGAACACGCTTTGCCGCCCTTATCGCCACTAAATAAGTCATAAGATAGGCTCTTAATAGTGATCGGTCAGATTCAGAGTTACTGGCCCTCCAACGTCGCTCTAGACGTCTCTTGTGGTGCTTCATCTCCCGGAGCTCCTCAGTAAACCAAGGCGCCCTCCGTGGACCACCACCACAGAGAGGTCGCAAAGGCGCAATTCGATCCAGGGCCCCGGACGCCGCCTCATTCCAGGCCGCAACCAGGGACCCGGACGAGTTGTGGACAAGGGAGTCAGGTATTTCCCCAAGCTCCTCCTGGAACCGATCTGGGTCCATTAGGCGCCTGGGGTGGGACCACCTAGTCGGCTCCCTCTCCCTGCGATGGGGGAGTGATGCTCTGAAGTCCAGCCTCAATAGGAAATGATCTGTCCATGAAAAGGGCGAGATCTCTATTCCCCTTAATTCCAGATCATGTCTCCATTGCCCCGAGAGAAACACAAGGTCGAGTGTGTGACCACCCCTATGAGTCGGATCCTGGATTACCTGGGTCAGGTCCATGGTTGCCATGGAAGCCATGAACTCCTGCGCCGTCTCTGAGCGATCGCCGAGTGATGGTAGGTTAAAGTCCCCCAGTACCATAAGTCTGGGTAACTCCACCGCCAACCCGGCTACTGACTCCAGCAACGCAGGCAGGGCTGTTGCAACGCAGCTGGGAGGTAGGTACGTCAGCAGCAAGCCCAACTGAACCCGTGAACCCAACTTCAATAGGAGGGACTCACACCCAGCAACCTCCGGGGCAGGAATCCCACGAAGACTCAAGGACTTCCGAGCAATGACTGCCACTCCCCCACCCCTGCCCTGATGTCGAGGCTGTCCGGGCACATCTCCGAGAGGGAAACACCCTCCTCAGGGCCCAGCCAGGTTTCGGTTATACATGCCAGGTCTGCCCCGCTGTCCAATATTAAATCACGGACAAGGGGGGCTTTGTGGACAACGGACCTGGCATTAAGCAACAGCAGCCTACAACTAGGGCCCTGTACTCCCCTGTCACCAGTACTACAGGATGAGCCTTTTGAGGGGCCGGAACAAGGAATCGCTCTAATATAGCAAGTCCTTGTTCCCCAAAGGTGGCCTGCCCCTCGGCTCCTGCCATATCTGCCCATCCCAGTCATAACCGGGATGCTCCAACCTTCTCCCCTCCCGGAGTACCCCCACCCTCACCAGCCTTCTCCCTTCCTTATGCTATGGGCATAAATAATTAATATTTATGCCCATAGCAACAAGCATTCATTCCTCCAAAAAGCATGAGGCCCATTTTCAAAAAGCTAGTGGTTTACTCTACAACTAATCAAGCAACTTTAGGAAGTATCATGGATTAAGATTAATTATATTCTGTAACAATCTTTATTACTTTTTATCTATGTCATAATTATACATTCCTCTGGGAAACAATTTTACCACTATCTGAAGCAGAATGGTTCAAAATGTTAGAGATGATACCTTGAATTAAAAGTAATGTTCATTTATATTATTGCAAAAATGATCCTTAAGAAAAGCTATGCTATACTAAGTTCATTCATTCACACTAGGATCCATAAAGCAAGTATTAAATTCATGTAATTGGTTGATTGGCCTATGGCTGTATGGGGAATGAAGATTGTTGTTACAGCATTCAATCACCTTTGTCTCTTCCTGGTCTAATCAATATAGTTCACTAGAATTGTCTTCATAAAATCTCAATATTCAACAGGAAATCCACTTGTTCCAAGGGCATGTTAGCTAGTCTGGGAAATCTAAAAAAATATTCTATAAGAAGACAGTGGGGAAACACTTCCCAAATGTTCCCCAGAAAAATGCAGTAATCCAGCTGCAATAAGTTTACTTTACTCAACACCATATTAATTTCTTTCTTCTTTGAAAGAAGTGTGTTTTTTTAAAAAACCATCTTTCTTAGCATTAATAATGGCAGTCCTAGGAGTATTGACACCTTTATATATTTGTGGGTATTTCTATACCTTGAATGTGTGGCAATTTAGCTATCGCTAGAAGGCTGCAGAGCAAAGCATGGCTTGTGGTTATTGTCCCAGCCATAAAAAGTCCAAACACAATAATCACAAGATCTTCAGGAGTATAGATACCCTCAGATGAATTCTGCTCCTTTAAAAAAAATGAAAAGAGAAACAGAACAATAAAAATTCTACTTGGAATTGAAATAAAGTAATTCATGAAACTCTTCATAGTGTCTTTTTCAATTAAAGGAAATGTAATTCAATCAAAGTGACTTTAGAAAATATAAAAAAGGTCTTCAATTCTAAGGTATTTCTGGGATCACCATTCATGCAGAGGAAGAAACAGCTTGCCCCTTTGATCTGCCCATCAAATGTTTACAACAAGATTGGCTGGCAATAAAGAATGGATACTCTTGATTTTGACTAATGTTGTTGGAGCTGGCCTAAGCAATTCCTAAGGTACATGGTTGGAAAAAAGAATTAAATCTATTCCATAGAAACGTACTTGTTAGATCTAACAAATTAATTCTAATAGAAATTTCTTCTACAAGATGATTCTAGAAAACTGTACTTAATTATCTTTATATCACCTATTGTAACTGTAGAAGATCTCTAAAAAAAAAACCTTCTAAAATTTAAATCGGCATGGGAAGAAAATTTCTATGCATACTATTTTTTTTGAAGAATTTTGCTGTCTTAAAGATAACAGAGTTCATTTTTATTGTTTGATCTAATTTGCAGAATTGTATGGGTACTTTTAAAACAATTATGTTGGAATAATAATGTATGCCAACAAAGGGCAATGAATGGGTTGTCCAAAAGTAAACAAAAAAGAAGGGGAGAATAAATATTTCCATACTTCTTCATATAGGATCAACTAGTTCCATCTTAAATGTATATTATGCAGACAATTATGCAGACGTGTATGCCTACCTTCTCCATTCTAAGAAGGAAGCAATCGATATAGTCACGTGGGTTCTGGGAATCCAATGTCTTTTTGTGCAATTCCACCTTCTCACGGATATATTCACAGACATGCTCAGCCTCAGCAAAAATGTCTTTGTGTGGCCCAGGAAAGTATTCCACTAGTTTTGGAAATGTATTGTATACCTGTCACAGAGTTCACATTAAATACTATATCTTATTAGACCATTATGGTGGAGGATTAATGTCCTAAATATTCAGAGACTAGCTTTTATTCTGATATTGCTAATTGTCAATCCTCAGATGGACCCAAACCCAAGAAGACAAGAATCACAAGGATTTCAGTATATTATCTTTAATTCTACTCTCAGGTAAACACAGTGTCTTGGAAACTGTTAATAGGAATTTATATCTATAATAAGTTAATTGAAGAGGAGTGTCTTTGAAAAGCTTTTCCCCAGATCTCTCCTTACCTAGGCCGACTTCCTTGTAAGAGCTACTTTGTCAAGGGATTCTCCCGCTGCTTTCCTAGCCTCCCCCATCAGTTGCACAAATGGATAATGGTGAAAATGGCCAAAGTCCTCCAAGAGGCAAAGACAGAAACTGGCTGTATGCATAAAGATAGGGGAACTGTCTAACAATTCTATGATAAGAAGAAATGCACCTGTCCAGAATCTGACATGGCCCAAAGGAGTTACAAGAGAAGGAAATAGTTCCCTAAGAAATAAGTCCAGCCAGAAGAGATTTTTTAAGAACCAATTTATGCTTAGATGGCTCAGTCATGCTGGATGTCTAGATTTGGCTTCTCCAGCTCAGTAGCTCATCACGTCTACATTTCTGATTTGCACCCACAAACGTACCCGCTAGTTAAAATGAGGGTTCATGACAAGAAGAGGATCAGATGGATTAACATACCAGTCCTAAGAAACTAACAGAGTATCTTAATTGAGATTCCATAACCTTCTGATTCTCTATGAAGCTTCGATCTTTGTAATCAAATCGATTGCCAAAGACAACTGCACAGATCACATTAGAAACAGCACTTGAAAAAATTCTTCTTGGGTCAAAAGGCTGCCCTGCAAAAAAAACCACAGACTCTTATGAGTGGGATCAGTGAATGTGGATCTTCTCTTCCACAAATCTCACCTCAAAACTGGAACAAAAAGTGATTCAGAGAAACTGGAATTATTATTCTTTCCCTCTTTCCTAAGTATGGAATATAAACACAATATTAAAATCCTATAACCACTTTAATCAAGATACAACATAGTATTTCATGTTCCATTTTGAAATTGACTAAAATATATATTCAAAGATTGACCTGGTTACCACTAGAGTTTCTTCACAAACGTATGGCTGCCTTTAGTCTAGAATTGTTTTCTCACCCCTTGCTTTTCTTTTTCTGCTCATGGCTGATTTTTCCACTTTGTCCCTTCCCTCCTTCACCTCTTTGTAGGTTCTGCTTTCTTAACTGAGTTCTCCTGTCTCACCCTCCCTTCCTCCTTCTAAACTTTTTTTCCCTGTTTTCTTTCTATATTTCTTTAAATAATATCACTTGCTAGTCATTCCATTATTTTTGCCTCCTCATTCCAGAGGTTTGTCCATTAAAGATTATATTCAAAGACACCACAACTCATTAAAGGAATACTATTTATGACCGCTTAATTCAGATCCACAGGGTCTTTCAGTTCTCCACCTCTCAGGAGACAAATGAGATGGTCTGGTACTCCCATCTCTTTAAGAACTTGCCACAATTTGTTGTGATCCACACAATCAAAGGCTTTAGCATAGTCAATGAAGCAGAAGTAGATGTTTTTCTGGAACTCCCTAGCTTTCTCCATAATCCAGCGTATGTTGGCAATTTGATCTCTAGTTCCTCTGCCTCTTCGAAATCCTGCCTGACTTCTGGTAGTTCTCGATCCATATACTGCTGGAGTCTAGCTTGTAGGATTTTAAGCATAACTTTACTAGCATGTGAAATGAGTGCAATGGTGCGATAGTTTGAACGTTCTTTGGCATTGCCTTTCTTTGGAATTGGAATGTAAACTGACCTTTTCCAATCCTGTGGCCACTGCTGAGTTTTCCAAATTTGCTGGCAAATTGAGTGTAGCATTTTTACTGCATTGTCTTTTAAGATTTTGAATAGCTCAGCTGGAATACTGTCACCTCCACTAGCTTTGTTGTTGCTCAGATTTTCTAAGGCCCATTTCACTTCACATTCTAGGATGTCTGGTTCGAGGTCAGTGACCATCTCATTGTGGTTATCTGGGATGTTAAGCTCATTCTTGTATAGTTCTTCTGTGTAGTTTTGCCATCTCTTCTTAATCTCTTCTGCCTCTGTTAGGTCTCTGCCATTTTGGTCCTTTATCATGCTCATCTTTGCATAAAACGTTCCCTTCATATCTCCAATGTTCTTGAAGAGATCTCTGGTCCTCCCTATTCTGTTGTTTTCTTCGATTTCTTGCACTGTTCATTTAAGAAGGCATTCTTATCTCTTCTAGCTGTTCTCTGGAATCTTTCTCTTTCTCCTTTGCCTTTATCTTTCCTTCTTTCCTCAGCTATTTGCAAAGCTTCCTCAGACAGCCATTTTGCTTTCTTGCATTTCTTTTTCTTTGGGATGGTTTTAGTTGCTACCTCTTGTACAATGTTGCGAACTTCCATCCATAGTTCTTCAGGCGCTCTGTCTATCAGATCTAATTCCTTAAATCTATTTGTCACCTCTACTGTATATTCATCAGGAATATGATTTAGTTCATACCTGAGTGGCCTAGTGCTTTTCCCTACTTTTTTCAATTTAAGCCTAAATTTTGCAACAACTCATGATCTGAGCCACAGTCAGCTCCTGGTCTTGTTTTTACTGACTGTATAGAGCTTCTCCATCTTTGGCTGCAGAGCACATAGTCAATCTGATTTCTATGTTGACCGTCTGGTGATGTCCATGTGTAGAGCCGTCTCTGGGTTGTTGGAAAAGAGTGTTTGTTATGACCATCGTATTCTCTTGACAAAATTCTATCAGCTTGTGCCCTGATTCATTTTGTACTCCAAGGCCAAACTTGCCTATTATTCCGGTTACCTTTTGGCTTCCTACCTTAGCATTCCAATCCCCCATGATGATAAGGACATCATTTTTGGGTGTTAATTTTATAAGGTGCTGTAGGGCTTCATAGAACCGGTCAATTTCATCCTCTTCAGCACCAGTGTTTGGAGCATAGATTTGGACTATTGTGATATTGAATGGTTTGTCTTGAATTCAAATTGAGATCATTCTGTCATTTTGGGGATTGTATCCCAGTATTGCTTTTCCTATTCTTTTATTGACTATGAAGGCTACTCCATTTCTTCTGAGTGATTCTTGCCCACAGTAGTATACCTGATGGTCATCTGAGTTAAATTCACCCATTCCTGTCCATTTTAGTTCACTGATTCCTAAGATGTCGATGTTCAGTCTTGTCATCTCTTTTTTGACTATGTCTAGCTTGCCTTGATTCATGGATCTTACATTCCAGGTTCCTATGGAGAAAAAATCTTTACAGCATCAGACTTTCCTTTCACCACCAGATATATCCACAGTTGAGCGTCCTTTCGGCTTTGGCCCAGTCGCTTCATTCTTTCTGGCACTACTAGTACTAGCCCTCTGCTCTTCCCCAGTAACATATTGGACACCTTCCGACCTGAGGGGCTCATCTTCCAGTGTCATATCTTTTTGCCTTTTAGTACTGTCCATGGGGTTTTCATGGCAAAGATACTGGAGTGGTTTGCCATTTCCTTCTCCAGTGGATCACATTTTGTCAGAACTCTCTGCTATGACCTGTCCATCTTGGGTGGCCCTGCACGGGATAGCTTATAGCTTCATTGAGTTACACAAGCCCCTTCGCCTCGATCGTCTGGAGACTTCTTTGGGGGAGGCGTGATGTCTCTTTTATACACTGAAGGGGTGGTTCTGTCGGTAGCTTGGACAGATCCCTTGGTTACATCAGGGCTGTGACTGCTTCACCTGGTCGTCGGATAGTGTGCTTCTCTGACGGGAAGGTACCAGGGGTCATTGTGGAGTTTAACTGATATTTTTCAGAAACATTTTTGCTTCTCTTTCCAGTTTTGACCAAGGACAAGGGGGGACATGATAGCAGTATTCCAATATCTCAGGGGCTGCCATAAAGAAGAGGGAATCAAGCTATTTTCCAAAGCACCTGAAGGCAGGACAAGAAGCAACGGGTGGAAACTAATCAAGGAGAGAAGCAACCTAGAACTACGGAGAAACTTCCTGACAGTGAGAACAATTAATCAATGGAACAACCTGCCTCCAGAAGCAGTAAATGCTCCAACACTGGAAGTTTTTAAGAAGAGACTGGATAGCCATTTGTCCAAAATGGTGTAGGATTTCCTGCCTGAGCAGGGAGTTGGACTAGATGACCTCCAAGGTCCCTTCCAGCTTTACTATTATTATTATTACACTCTTTACCTCCACCCTTCTCTCCTTCTAATGTATCCCCCTTTTTAAAAATAATAATAATCAATACACTTTTTTCTGCTTCTTTGTGTATCTCCTTCCAGCCACAAGGATGGCTTTCAAAACTGCTATAACTGCCTGAATAAATTCTATTTGTGGCCCTACAATTCAAATCCATGTTGCCTTACAGATCTCTGTCCCTCATGCAGCCTGTTCTTATGTATGTGTTTCTTGCCTCACTTAGTTTACCTATCTCTTTAATCCATAAAGTTTGTTGTTGGTTTCTGAATTTACTTAATGTGTGTTACTGCATCCAGCCTAACATTTCACTTCTTTTGGACAAAATTGTAACTTTATAAAGCCATAATTGCCCTATTAAACAATTTCCTAGTATTTCTGATCTCTCAGCCACTGCAGTTACAGTAAGATTTCAGTACTTCTTGACAATCTTGTAATTTCATCAAGCCAAAAGCTGACACTGGATAAAAAAGAGGGAGAAACAGCCGTGTTACTTTTCCCTTTGCTTCTGAACAATACTGTGAAAACAAAAGGGAGGGGAGCATTCACTGCCTATCTAAGTTTTTCTTTATTATGTGCATTTAAGTGCAGAGGATTTGATTTTAAGTTTACAATCTACTTTTCCTGTAACCTCACATAATACAAAAACCCTTTCCAGCTTTTTTTTTTTTTTTACCCTTTGTGGCAGCCATTTCCTCCACCAGACAAAGAGCTTCCTCCTGCACCCTCTCAGACATTCTTTTTTTCCCCATCCCAAAATCTCGCAAGGTGGACAGTGTGAACCGTCGCAGCTCCTTCCATTTCTTGTCATTAGTACTGGTCAAACCTGAAACCAAAGACACAGGAAACAGATCACAATGTGATATCAGTTCTCAAAAATTATATATTACAATTTTCCCACTACACTTTTAAAGTAAACAAGCCTTTGTGCTTGAATTACTAGTTAGATGAACTGCAGAGTTTTCATCTGTCTGTTCTTGAGTGCTGTCATATTACGAGAAGAATGAATGAGATTGTGGAAATCATGTCACAAGTTACTATAAGTGTTAAATGGAGAGGGACAGATCCTAGACCAATCATGGACAGAATTCAGTACGCAGAAGAAAATTGCAATTGCTTCAGTTCTGGTTAGTTTATGCAGTAGAGGTTTTGTTCACAAAAAGAAGTCACTTCCAATTGCTCTCTTACTTGGTTGCTTGATTAGGTACCATCAAGTCACTGTCAATTACAAGCAACCACATAGATTTTGTCCGTTACAATAGATCTCCAGCCTAGTTCTTGAGGACTTTGATATATTTGTCATCATTTTAAAAACCAGTGTTTTTCTACAAAAAAAAAGAAGGTGCCAGAACTCACACACGACATATAACTCGCCTTGCCTACCCTACAAGGTTCCATCCAAAAAAAGTGCCGGAACTCCGTTCTGGGCATTCTATGAGAAAAAAAGCCCTGATTGTAACTAATTCCATCATGTCTCCTTCCTACCATCTTTCCCACCCTTACAACTTTCTCTAGAGAGCTAGAGAGAGCTTTGCACAAACTTTCTGAAATATGATCATTTGAATCTGGTCATTTGTACTTTGAGTGAAAATTCTGGACTGATTTGTTCAATGATAAGTTTTATTGGGTATCCACAATATTCTCAAGAGTCTTCCCTGGAATGTTCTCAGGAATCTTCTCCAACATCAAAGCTCAAAGGCATCAACAATTTTCTACCCAGCTTCTTCAAAATCCAAGTTATTTTGAAGGTATATGAAATTGATATTCAGCATTAATCCAGATAACATAAGCCAAAAAATGTCTTCATTGGTAAACCATTTTGTTTTTCCCAAAGGGCCAATTTAGAGGTCAAATTATTTTTGTTGTTGTTGTTATTTAAGATTTAATCTTCAATTCGATTCACAGTCTGGGACTGGTAAAAACTTAACAGTTCAAGTACTAACCAAGGACCTAAGAGTTATTAAGGTGTCTGAGTATATAAACAGTTCCAAGTAAGGTGGATTTTGCAAAGTCAGAATATTCAGGTCTGATAAGTTCAAAATTTCCATGAATCTAGGCAACCCTTTGGGTATTGCTCCAAGGGCTCCTATTACTATTGGTACAACCATTGATTTCTTAACAGTTCAAGTCCTAACCAAGGACCTAAGAATTATTAAAATAGCATCTGAGTATACAGGCAGTTCCGAGAAGGGTGGGTTTTTTTAATTGTTTTTGTTGTTGTTGTTTATGCATGTAAGTGACAACCTGAGCAGACTTGAGAAGTGGAAAGGGAATGATAAAGAACATTTTCTTCCTTTTTCTAGCATGACCAAATCAACATCTTTACAAAACCTCATTTTAAGTGAAACTTTCACAATTATCAATATTATTAATGGCATTTAGATAATTTGAAAATATGTACAGAAAATTAAAGAAAAAATGATAACTAATAAGGAAATGAAAGAGAATCAACCTTTATTACGGAACAATCGCTTATGTGCAGGCATTTCTGTTCGCCCACCAAATTCTTCTGAATGATCTATCAAAGCATCTTTTACCACTTCATAACTACAAAGAGCAACCATTGGCTTTGATCCATTCCAGACAGTAAATATAGGTCCATATTTCACAGAAAGCTAAGGGTAGAATTAGATGAAAATTCAGTTAATTAGGTGACAATGCATTTTTGATGAAATTATATACTACTACTACTGCTAATAATAATAATAATAATAATAATAATAATAATAATAATAATAAAGTTGGAAGGGACCTTGGAGGTCATCTAGTCCAATCCCCTGCTCAGGCAGGAAACCCTATACCATTTCAGATAAATGGCTGTCCAGTCTCTTCTTAAAAACTTCCAGTGTTGGAGCATTCACAATTTCTGGAGGCAGGTTGTTCCACTGATTAATTGTTCTAACTGTAAGGAAATTTCTCCTTAGTTCTAGGTAGCTTCTCTCTTTGATTAGTTTCTATCCGTTGCTTCTTGTCCTGCCTTCAGGTGCTTTGGAGGATAGCTTGACTCCCTCTTCTTTGTGGCAGCCCCTGAGATATTGGAACACTGCTATCATGTCCCCCTTGTCCTTCTCTTCATTAAACTAGACATACCCAATTCCAGCAGCTGTTTCTTATATGCTTTAGCCTCCAGTCCCCTAAGCATCTTTGTTGTTCTTCTCTGTACTATTTATAGAGTTTCAACATCTTTTTTACATTGTGGTGACCAAAACTGGATGCAGTATTCCAAGTGTGGCCTTACCAAGGCATTGTAAAATGGTATTAATACTTCACATGATCTTGATTCTATATCTCTGTCAATGCAGCTTAGCACTGTGTTGGCTTTTTTGGCAGCTGCAGCACACTGCTGGCTCATATTTAAGTGATTGTGCACTAGGACTCCAAGATCCCTCTCACAGTTACTACTATTGAGCAAGGTATCCCCTATACTATACCTGCACATTTGGTTTTTCTTGCCTAAATGTAGAACCTTACTTTTTTCACCATTAAATTTCATTTTGTTAGATAGCGTCCAATGTTCAAGTCTGTCAAGATCCTTCTGTATCTTAAGCCTGTCTTCTGGAGTGTTGGCTATTCCTGCCAGCTTGGTGTCATATGCAAATTTGATGAGGTCCTCATCTATCCCCTCATCCAAATCATTGATGAAGATGTTGAAGAGCACTGGGCCCAGAACAGAGCCCTGGAGCACCCCACTACACACTTCCCTCCTTGTAGATGCAGTTCCATTGAGGACCAATACACACTTCACTCCAAGTATTTTTGAAATACTTCTTAAATTTGTCAGAGACACTTCAGCATATTTAAGCAAAGCTTCAGTAACTTTTAATGCCTACAAAATACATCAATATGATTATACATGATACATGACATATATCTCCTAGTTGATGAGTGACAGACAATGCTATGTTGGCCTTTGTGGGTATATATGGATTAGAGAATTTAGCTTGCAGAGAATAGCTTGAGCCACTCCAGATAAAACTGTGCTTTGGTTGTACTTCTGACATACCAGCACAAAAGGACCAAAATGCAGCAATCCTATTTTTACCATTAACAAAAAATGTTATCTATTGCAAAGATAAAACAAAGCCTGATAACTAATCTATTCTTTCTTTAGCTTACTAGAAAAATGTATTTGAAATACACCATTAACCAACTTTATGTAGGCAAGTGAAGGTCAATATTTATTGGTCCAGATGTTAACCAGCATGAGATATGGAACATTTAACATGGAATATAAGAATATATATACACTTTAGTGAATAATAATAACAGAGAAAGAAAAGAATACTTTTATTATTATGGAACATTCAAAAAAATGCAATTCAGGGAAAACTGTATTGATGAAAGCTTCTTAAAGTAGATCAGGTAATTATTTGTTGTGTCAAGGACAGACCTTGGAACTTCCAGTGAAGATGACCAATTGACAACACACTAGAGAGAGATCACTGGGGCTCCCTGAAGGATTTTTCTCTAAACTGTTGCCTTTTCAACTTACGAACAGAAGGAACTGGCATTCCTTTAGTTTATATGACTCTCCTGGGTTAGGGAGAGTACTAAAATCATTCCACAAGAACCTCCATACAGCAATGGTCTGCAAGTAGCTTCAGGAGCTGTGCTTCAGAGCAAGGGTCCCCAACCCCCTGTCCATGGATCAATACCGATCCATGGCATGCCAGCAACCAGTCTGCACAACAAGCAAAGCCCCATGTGTGGGATACAGGCAGCACACAAAACCGCACACTCTCCAGTCCGTGGAAAAATCTTTCTCGACGGAACCAATCCCTGGTGCCCAAAAGATTGGGGACCTCTGCTTCAGAGCACTGATGAGCCAGCAGCTGGGGCGGGGCTGCAATCACTTTGTTTGAAAAGCAACCATTTTGGAATTTTTTTTTCAAATGGACAGTAAGTTGTGCCTTTCATTTCTTAAACACTTTTAAGGACTAATAATCTTTATTGAGCTAAAATAAGACTCTCTTTAACTGTAGCTTTTTATTCCTTTTTGAAGATCTGTGCCATCTGGGGGATTTCTTTATTGTTAAACAAGAAGACTGCTGAAAGCAAGCTAAAATAAGGAAATGTGGAATATCTTTTTTTTTTAACTTTGTTGGAGAAATATAAGAGTAGAAAGTTATGGTTCTAGTTTTCCATTTTTAAGTAATTTGTAGCTTGTCTGCTTTGCTGTGGGTGGTTAAAACTCTCTGATTTTTATGAAACTTGATTGGCCAGTAATCCTTAAGTGACCTACAAAAAAATTTACTCTTTGACTAAAAAGGGAGTTAAGAAGATGGAGGAGCAAATTATTAGAGAAGTATTTGAAAAATTCTTAAATAAAACCTATCAGTTCATAGACCAGTGTTTCTCAACCTTGACAATTTTAAGGCATGTGGACTTCAACTCCCAGAATTCCACAGCCAGCAATGCTGGCTGTGGAATTCTGGGAGTTGAAGTCCACATACCTTAAAATTGTCAAGGTTGAGAAACACTGTCATAGACCAACTATATTCCAAGGATGTTAAAAAAAACTAGTCAAACTACTTCACAGATGCACTTATGTGTATAATGTTACCAAACCATGGAGGCAATTTCACAAGTAGTTGACAATGTAAAGGAGTCAATTGCGATTTTGACACCAATCTTATTTATGATGATTTAAATGTAAACCTTCCAACACAATTAAAAGAAGAGTCTCAACAAAATCTGCAACTTTCAAGAGGACAAGTTTGGGACTTTTTTCTTCATGGATATTAACAAGGTTGAGAAATCCTTGAGAAAGAGACAAATTTACAATTACTTGATTGACATTCCAGAGAAGAAAAAGATTTTACTCTATGAAGATAAGCTGGAAGGAGTGATTTAAACTTAATTAGTCAATTGGAATCAGGATGGATTTTTATTGGTTTGATATTTGTAACTGAAAGAAAGTTTTAATGTAAAATGAGTCTGAAAATGCATTTTTTTTCTTTATATATAATGCTTAAATTATTCCTAAAGATTGTAAAAGATTACTGAAAGTGTATTTGAAAGTATCTATGTTAAGAGACAGTTAAATAAAAAGATGTATTAGTTTAAAGAAAAGTTTAGAGTCTTAAAATGGACGTATACAAGAAGAAAAAAAATATTCTATGAGGATAATTTGGAGGGAGTGATTTAAATTTAATGAGTTAATTCAAGTTAGTTGGATTTTTATTTGTTTGATCTATGTAATTGAAAGAAAGCTCTAATGCAGTTTGTGTTGATAAAATGAGTTTGAAAATGTTTTTTTGTTTTATATATAATTTTTGGAATAATTTTTAAAGCTTGTAAAATATTACTGAAAGCAAAATTTAAAGTATGTATGTTAAGAAGAAATTTTTGAAAAGATGTATTAGAACATACTGATTTTAGAAATGTTTTTAAAGAAAAATTTAATGTTTTAAAATGGGAAAAGGTGATTTTTCCCTTTAAGGTTAAATAATCTGAAAGAATATAGTGAATTTTATTAATATAAATGGTGATAGTTTATAAAGATTATTAAGTACAAACAGAAATATTACTTCCACAGCAGGAAAGAAAAAGCAGAGATGGTTAAATTGATTGCTTTATTCAAAGAAGAGAATATATTTAATTATGTTTTTTATTTGGAAATAACTTCTGCATTTTGTGCTAGAGATAAAAAAATAAAATTTTGATTTTGGTTTTGCTGATTACATAGATTTGTTGTTATAAAAATGTCTAGTTAAAAACTTGAGGCCATAATGTTATCTTCTACTGTGCTAAAAAGAGTCAACCCCCTTCCCCCCCCCCTTTTATCTCACATTTACTCTTTCCTTCCCTTTTTCCTCCCTCTAGTTTCCATTATTTTTATTTTCTTTTGTATTTTATATTTTGATAAACTAATAAAATTTGAAGTAGAAAAGGAATAGACAGAGGTTGAACTGACTTTTCAAAATGTAAAAATTATCCTTCTGTAATGCTAAAAAAAGTCTGCCATTGATGTATTTGATTCATGACTAAATAAATAAATCCATAAGGACAGGCCTTGACAAAATGGGCACAGAAGAAAAGGAAAGAAGTGAAAAAACTAAGAGTGAATGTAAAAATATTGCAAAAATACAAACTGGTGTATTTCATGAAAAATAATAACATATACAGTAGATCAACTTCCCAACAGACTGAATGGAAAGTTGATATAAGTAAAGAATATATAGGAGTGCTTCAAACAGTGTGCAAGGAATTATATTACAGAGGGCCAGTGAAGTAGAATTATAATAATGGGCTATTTGATTTTTGTACAAAAAAAGGTTATAGGTGAAAAAACAACGCATGGAAGAGGATAACTGATCTATTTGGAGGATGGAAACAGGAGCAAACTGCTAGCATTCATAAAGATAAACCATCTTTGGTAACCTAAATAGGCTTCAAGGAACTGGATTTCCACTATACCACAGATCGGCAACCTGCGGCTCCGGAGCCGCATGCGGCTCTTTGAGCCTTCCCCTGTGGCTCCCAGCCTCCTCTGCCTTTGCAGAGAGAGACAGAGACAGAGAGAGGCAATTGCGCTTCCCTGCTTCCCTCTCTCTCTCTCTCTCTCTCTCTCTCTCTCTCTGTGTATAAAAGAGAGTGCACTCACAGTGTTCTCCGAGGAGCTGAAAAGCTTACTGGGCGGAGCTCCTCCCTTTGCTGCATCTCTGCAGGAAGCAGGAAGGGCAGGAGAGAGCTAGCTAGCCCAGCTAGGCTGACTCAGGAATTCTGGGAGTTGAAGTCCATGAGTCATAAAAGAGATGAGGTTGCTTACCCCTGAGCTTGTTGGACAACAGCTTGAAGCTTGCCAGGTGAGCAGCAGATAGGAGGGGGGGAGAAAGAGAGAGAGAGAAAGAGAGAGGGAGGGAGAGAGAGAGGGGGGGAAGAGGAGTGGCAGACCAAGGACAGATAGAGAGGGAGGGAGGGAGAGAGACAGAGAGAGAGAGACCCTTTTGACATCTAAAATGAAGATAACACTGCATATATCCTTTTTTTAACCTCTGTGTGTATGTAATTTTATTCTCTTAAAGCATTCTCTTGGTGATCATTGTTTTAATAGTATGGATATTCCCAAGAGTCATATTTTTACTTTTATTTTTAATGTGTGTGTCTGTGTGTGTGTGTGTGTGTGTATACACACACATATACATACACACACACACACGCACACACACGCTCGCGTGCGCACACACACCTATAATAAAGGTAAAAAAGGATATATGCAGTATTATCTTCATTTTAGATATCAAAAGGGTTTTGCAGCTCCCGGTGTTTTATTTTTGGTGGGAAACGGGTCCAAGTGGCTCTTTGAGTGTTTTGGGTTGCCTACCCCTGCACTATACTATAGGAAAGAGTTTGTGTTTCTATATATCTTTGTTGGCATCTAGTGATTGCCTGGATTTTTGCAGCCCAGATGAAATATCCCTAGCCTTTCATTTATTAGGTTGTATCTGCATTTAAGCAACCTGGAATCAAACAGGTTAGCTAGAAGAAGAGGAGGATTAAGTGAATTTGATGCTAATTTGAATTTGATGCTAACTCAAATGATACAAAATTTTAGATTTATGTTTCTAAAGTTTTTCTTGTTACTACATATTTGAAATGTAGTACAACTTTGAAACTTCCATTGCAGGTTTATTAGATTGTTACAAGGTGACTTTATACTATAATTCCTGTTGAAGATACACATGAGCTCAAAATAACATTGGTTGTTTATAGAATAAATCAAACTAATAAAATTAGAGAAAGGCACAGTAATATTTCAAAGTAATCACCAGAAACTTTGAAGAAGTAAAATACTTAACTAACCTTACCTTTTCATAATATTTATACAGAGGTAGTACATCTCGCTGAAAGATGTTCCCCAGAATAGGCCATGGAGTAGGTCCAGGGGGCAGCTGCCCTTTTTTCTTATACATTTGGAAAGATGAAAAAAGGGTGAAAAGTATACAGAGAAGAAGTAGAATTTCTGTCCATGTCAAATCCATCCTCTTCTCAGCTGTTGTCTTCTTCAAAAATCCCAGAAACTGTTTAAATGAGACAAGACTGAAAGAAAAAGGCTAACTGGAGCCTCAATCACATCTAAATGACATATTTTCTCTAACCTTTTTTTTTTTAATCAATGTGTTCTTTTACTGCTATCAGTACAAGGTAATTATTTACTAACATCCCTACCTTTGAAGTCTGGGTTCAAATAAGTTCCTGTTTTTGTACATTTAGTGGAACAATATGGAGTAATACAGTATAAATATCTTCTAGTCCAGTGTTTCTCAACCTTGTCAAATATAGGATGTATGGACTTCAACTCCTAGAAATCCCTACCCAGCTATGCTAACTGGGCATATCCAGGATTTGAAGTCCACACATCTTAAAGTTGTCGAAGTTAAGAAACACTGCTCTAGTCCAACTCCCTACACAAGCTGGAGACCCTGTTCCATTCCAGACACTTCTTCAAAGCCCCCAGTGATGGAGCACCCACAACATCTGAAGGCAATTGTTCTCACTGTTAGGAAATTTCTCCTTAGTTCTAGGTTGCTTCTCTCCTGGACTCTGGGTGGTTAACAATCATATGCATAAACATACTAAAATATAAATAAGTTAATGCCAACCACTAAAATCCATTTACAGATGGGAGGGCAGGGGCAGGATTGGGAGGGAGATGGGATCTATTGTTACTCGATTAACCAGCTCCACTGTGATGCTCTCCCATGCTAACTGGTAGAGCCAGGTCTTTAGGCCCTTACAAAAGGTCAGGAGGGTTGGGGCCGACCTCACTTGGGGGAAAAAATATTCCAGAGGACAGGTGCAACAGCAGAGAAGGCTTTTCCTGGACACTGCCAGCCAGAATAGTTGGGCCTGTAGCATGCCTCCTCTGCTAGCACAGGTGGGATGGCCAATTCAGTGGGATGAGAAGTCCTTCAAGTAGCCTGGACTCATGCCTTGAACTGCTTTAAAGGTGATTACCAACACCTTGAATTGCACCTAGAAGCAGACTGGCAGCCAATGCAGCTCGCAGAGTAGTGATGTTATATGGGCCATTCTTTGGGCCCCAAGAACGGCCTGAACCGCTGTAGTCTGCACCAGCTGTAGCTTCCAAATGCCTTTCAAAGGTAGCTCTGTGTAGAGCACATTACAATAGTCCAATTGTGAGATGACAGTGCAGGGAATCCTGATCCAGGAAAAGCCACAAATGGTGCACAACCCAAAATTGTGCAAAGGTTCTTCTAGCCACAACTGCCACCTGCTCTTTGAGCAGGAGTTCTGAATCCAGGAGAATCCCTCAAGTTGCAAACTGGGATAGTGCCACCCCACCCAAATTCAAATATGACAGATCTCAGGGCCCCATGTACCCAAAACCGTTCGGTCTTACCAGGATTCAGTCAAAGCCTGTTGTTCCCCATTCAGGCCCCACAGCCTCCAGGCACCACAAGAGGGAAGCCATAGTATGACTTGGTTCACCAGGAGTGGAAATATAGAATTGAGTATTTTCAGAATACTGCAGATCATCTGGTGACAGATGATCGCGCCCAGTCATTTGCTATGGATGATGAAAAAGAGTGGAGATAGTACCAAGCCCTGTGGCGTGCCACAAGATTGTGGCCAAGAGCTGGACCTCTCATTCCCTATCAACACCAATTGGAACCAGCTTTGAGAAAGGAATAGAACTAGCACTAAACTGTGTCGCCCAGCCACAGCCCCCATAGCTGACCCAAAAGGATACCATGGTCAATGGTATTGAAAACCATTGAGAGGTCAAGGAGAGCAAAAATGGTTGCACTACCCCGATCTCAATCTCACCAATGATCATCAACAAGTGCGACCAATGCTGTTTCCATTCCATAACCGGGCCTGAATCCTGACTGAAAGGGGTCCAAGTAATTCACTTCATCACAGATCCTCTGAAGTGCCAGACCACCACATTTTCCACAACCTTCCCCAAAAAGGAAATTGGATGAAAATTGTCCATGCAGGTGGATCCAGTGATGGTTTTTTAAGGTGGGGGGCAAATCAGGGCCTCCTTAAAAGACTCCAGAAATGTCCCCCTTCTAGTGGCATATTGATCACTGCTTAGACCCACCTGCTAGTCACTGTCCTAGAGGCTTTCACTATCTGGAAGAGACAAGGATCTTACTGACAGGTAGCGGTGTTGACAGTATTGAGGACCCTGTCCACTTCATCCCCTGAAAGATTTAACCAGATATAATCAGGAAGAGGCATCCTTCATATAACCCAAATAACTTTTGAATTCTTGTAGGACTTAAGGCTTTTCTTTCACCAGCTTGCTATAACTTTGAATTCAGTACTATGAGCATTACTCCTTTAAACAAACTCCTTTAAACCGTGACTTTCAAGAGGGTTACACAGACTAGATCTCTCGTCCAGAACTACTTGACTCCTGATTCATCACACCGTTATAATTTAAACAGTTAATAATTTCATTGAATAAATTACTAGGAAGCCTCTGAGGTAAACTAAACCCAATTTTCAATTCTTCAGAAGTTTTAAAAATATTCCAAATCAATATCAAACTGTTTGTGAGGTTCTCTCTGTCCATCAGATAATGGAAAGGAATACTTTTATCAGTTCATTTATACTGAAAAACTGACTGGATGGAATTTCAAAACCACCTCAAGGTTGGTTAGGTTTTAATATTTACAGAACAGCAGAACCAAACACGAACAGAGACTATTTGAAAGAGACTCTGTTCCTTCATTTCTTTTATAATGATTAGAACAGCACATTTAATAGTTTTTGACAACTTCAGACAATCCAAAATACTTGAAGAATATTCTGAGAGGTTTCAGACTGCCTCTTACTATAAAATTTCCTGGTATTTACTTATTACTGAAATTAGATAGCAGAGAAACTCAGCAGAAAAGTTTTCAAGATTTCAAACAGCACCTGCTTTTGCCACTGTCTGGATGTAGGTTTCCACAGTTGCAAAGTCTGGGTCAACGTTTTCACATTTTTACAACTAGATAGATTTTCGAAATTGTCCATTTAGATTTGGCAAGCAGTAGTTTTGTGAAAGATAAAAATTAGGTGATAGCTACAGTGGATATAAAAAGTCTTCACACCCCTATTAAAATGCCAGGTTTTTGAGATGTAAAAAAATCAGAACATATCAGAATTTTGCCATCTTTGATATAACATATAAAAACTCCCTTTTATGACCATATAATCCCTTAATTCGGGGTAGAGTTGGAGCAACTGGATGGAGCTGAGTGTTTACTGGCCAGCTGCCCTTCCTGACGCCACACTGAGTTTTTGCAGCAGATATTTGTATATACCTTATTTATATACTTTCAATATAACATATATCATATATTCCAGCGTATAAGGCGACCCGGCGTATAAGATGACCCCCATCTTCGGTGCCGAGTTGCATGCCTAGAAAGTCGTCTTATACGCCATAAACTACCATTATTTCTGGCGTATAAGACGACTCAGCGTATAAGACGACCCCCGACTTCGGCACCGATTTCAACGCTTTCAAAAGTCATCTTATACGCTGGAAAGTACGGTATATAAGCTGTACAATTAAAAAACAAACTGAAATCTTTTAGGTTACAAAATAAAAATAAAAAGTAGAATAATGTGGTATACACACCCTCTTATAAGTAGGAAAGTAGCTATATTCAGAATTAAGCAATCACATTCAAACTGATGGAAAGTACTAATCAGTACACACCTTTCAATATCCCCTCTGCATGAGTAACCACAGCAACAAAAATAATCATTCTTTAGTACAGTGTCAATCTTTCATTGGGATTTACATCTAAATTAATCATTTGATTTATCTAGAAAAAGCCAAATATCTTGCCTTTTCATCTTTTATTATTTCCATTTCTCTGGATTGTATCCTGCAGTATAGAAAAACTCTGTGTAAAATGTGTGCATGAATGCGAATCTCTAATCAGTCAGTATTGGTTATTCTCAATTTCACCATTTTCTTATTTTAGTTTAATCCATCCTATTATACACATACACATACACACACACACACACACACACACACACACACACACATACACACACACACACACACACACACACACACATACACACACACACACACACACACACACACACACAGAGAGGACTTTTTTTCTCATAGAATGCCCAGAATGAGTTCCGACACCTTTTTTGGATAAAACCTTGTAGGGTAGGCAAGGTGGGTTGTATGATGTGTGTGAGTTCCGGCACCTTTTTTTTTTTTTTTAGAAAAAAAGCATATATATATATATATATATATATATATATATATATATATATATATATATATATATATATAAGGTATATTCATATAGGAAATATATGGCAGTGGATGCCTATTTTCATGAAACATAAAAAAGTAGGATGGGTCAAACTAAGATAAGAAAATCCCAGTCATTTTTTGGATGAAAAGGACCAGTTTAGGAAAAGAGATGCTTTTGTGCCGTTTGCAACAGGTATATGCCTCTGGAACAGATTGTACTGCAAATTAATATGATTACCTGATACATGTTAGTCTTTTATTAGACACAATTCCAGCAAATGCTTCCTAGATAAGTTTATTTTCTTGTTTGCTAGTATAGGAAGTGATCCTTGTTGAGCCATTATTTCCATCTTGGCTAAATTTAATTTATGCTTTATTATCTCCATTTGTTTCTTAAGTATTTTCTTTTGTGGATCTATTTGTAATTTTGATTCTAACTTTCTGAGCTCTTCCTTCAACTTTAACTGTAGTTGTTTCTTTTCTTTATTCTTTTTAGCGATATAAGTTATAGCCAACCCTCTGAAATATGCTTTAGCCATGTCCCACACATTTTGAAGCGATGTTTCTTCTTTCTTATTTATTTTGAAAAAAAATTCCATTTCCTTTGTCGCTAGTTGTAAGAATTCTTTTTCTTTCAATATAGATTTATTCAAGGACCATCATGATTTTTCCTTAGTTCCTTTCCAAATCATTTTTAGTGGGTTATGGTCTGCTTAAACATTAGTTTCCATCTCAACTTCTTGTATCGTTTTCAATTCCAAAGATGTCCATATCATATTGATTCTAGACCATGATTTATGTCTATTTGAATAAAATGTGTATTGCAATTTCTTTGGGTTTTTCTCTCACCATATATCTTGAATGCAGAGTTCTTCTATAATTTTTAAGAACATTTTAAGTAATATATTTCCTCCTTTTCTCCCTTGTTTGGCGCTTTTATAGTCCAAAGTTCCATCGACTATTGCATTAAAATCTCCCATTATACAAAGATTTTGATAGTTTAAATCTAATATTTTTATATAGTTTTTGATAGAATTGCTCTTCCTGTTCTTCAGTGCTCTGTTCCAGAATTTCACCTTGTGTCTGGTTGGGGACCCCAAAGACATGGATATAATGTCTTTGTTTATGGACTTCAGAAAAAGGAATCAATACTCCCTTATATGAGCCATTAACTGTTCAATGGACACTTGTGTTCAATAATTTAAAAAAAGCATTTGCATCAATAGATGCTCAAATAAAGCATGTGGGATAGCTATTACATTTAAAGGCAATCTTAACCTTGATGTGGAATACAAATACAATAATTTTTATAGCAAAGGAAGCTATTCTTACTGTGGTTCTGACTACATGTAATTAAGAATACTTCTGAAATATCTCATAGCTGTTTCTCTTACAAAATCATAATTCAGTAACAGGATTAGACTCCAGATAATGAGTGCACAGGCTCATGCTACTTAAGAGACTGCATACAATTCATATGTAAGACTTCTTTGGTAGCCATGAACTTTTGTGATTGGGGACCTTTCCTTAGAATTTAAGGTCTTAGATAAGAATCACATGTGTACGTTTGGAAAAATATATCTAAAACAATTGCTGTCTCTAATCTTCCAGACTATCAGCTACTTACCTGATTATTCCTTGCCTCTGTTCTTGACCACCAGCAAATGAAAATGTGTCTTGCCTATTTATATTTGTCTACTGTTGACAATGAGATTTAGGACAGTGAGACTGATGGTTTTAAGATGTTATATCCCTATAAGATATAGATTTGTTGTAAGCTGATAGCTTATAGGGAGGGCACAAAGTAGATGCTATGATTGCTCTGCAGCAAAATTCTACTCTAAAACCCCTTTAAAATGTTGTTTCCTTGAGTAGTTTCCATTGCAACAGAATTAAGGAATTGGCTCAAAGGTTAGCGATATAGATATCTTCCAAAATACAAACTACTATACAATAAAGTATCAACCCTATGGCATTAACAATATCTGTAAATGAGTATTGGGTTGCTTGTTCAGGGAACAAGGTCCTTTCTTGCCTAATGTGCATTGCTAAGCAAGATTGCACATAACAGGGCCAGGGGTCAAGACTAACATGGCTTGATGACAAGTTTTTTTCATTTCTGCAGTTCTCAGCTTATGCAATGTAGCCACATGCCCTCACTTTGCTATATCTTCTGCAATGGAATGTTACATTTTCTATGTCATTTCTACTAGTGCAACTAACCGAGTTGGCATTTCAGTTCATTAATTAGCAGTCTGAATAT